ACGCAGAAGAGGAAGCGGCGCTCTGTTTACCTCCGGAGGTCATAGTCAGTGTTGGAAGTAAAGTGTTATAAAAGTAACAAATTACTGTAATGCGTTGGTTTTTGCTGTAACGCAGTAATGTGGCATTACAGGGAAAAAATTTATATATATTTTACTGGGTACAAATGTCAGCATCGCGCATCAAAATGCATTTTTAACCTGGACTGAAGTGGTGGGTTTTTTGTTTTTCTTCGTGCAGATTCGCTAAAATCACAGCGATATCAGCAGCGGTGAAACGCCGGAGATGCACCTGTGTAGACCGTCGTGTGACCGCGGGCGAAAGGACCAACACAGAACTCCACGCTCCACGGGGTGAAGAGCAGTCGACGCCCGACTGCACCTTGCAAACACCCTGTTCCACGGGCTCTGGATTCTCTCAAGGGTGGAACTAGAGTCTAAGTTCTAGTCCAAGATTAGTCCTGGTTTGGTCTTGGTTTAGTCCTGGTTCATTCCATATACGGCGCTAAAGTTCAGCATCTTCACTGTTATTTTGGTGAGAGTAACTTAAAAGTGCTGCAATAGTCGTATAATGTTTTACATTTTAAACACAGTAATATTATAATGTAATGAATTACTTTGAAATGACATTAACAAGTCATAAATAAATAACACATTACAGTTTTAAAGTCACTTGTCCAACAGTGGTCATGGAGTTGTTCAGAAGTGACACCGAGGATGAAGAACTGAATGGATTTAGTGATTTGGAGTGAGATGGAGAGTTTGGTTAAACTTGTTCTGTTCTGTTGTTTATGTTATAGTTTATCTGAAGAACTGTTCATATGTGACGTTAACAGTCTGTTGTTCTCTCTTCTAGTGTTTTTACTACAACTTGACTTTACACAGGAAATGTCGGTTCCTGGTCTCTGATTTTTATAAAATAAATTTCCCCCCAAAAGTGCAACTTATAGTAAAGTAAATACAGAGCAGAGGGCGGAGATAGGTAGAATTTTTAAAAAGTCATTTTCTGAGACCTCAAGAAGAATGAAGGACAATAGAGGATTACTCAAAACATGCATGAATCAAAATACAACTTTGACAAAACAAAAAAAAGTTCATAAAAGTTATAATAACTATATCTATATAATGCAACACTGACTCTTGTACGTTTTTAACCAGTTATAATGTTATTACCTCCTCAAAAACAGACCTGCAGTTCTCTGTTCTATTGTTATTACTAGAACTTGAGTTTCAACAGGAAATGTCAGCTCCTGGGCTCTGATTTTATCAAATAAATTTCACCCAAAAAGTGCCACTTGTATTAGTTTTTTTCTTCTCCGGATCGTCTGAAAAATACAGTAAATCTGATCAGCGGTAAAATAAAGACTGCAGACGTATGTGCTGTTTGGAATCATCTTGAATTTGGCCTCGTCTCTTCTAATCGTGTGAACCCAGTGCACTCGGAGTCGTGCGTCAGTGGGGAAATGATGAAAACTGAGGTGTGGTTGTAATTGTTGATGAGCCGAACGTAACGGAACGATACAATGACACGGAGACGAAGAAAACTGGGACATTTTCTCATTTTTCCTAGATTTTGTCAAACTTACTACAGCGAACAGAACCCACCGGAAGTTCATCGCATTTTTCCAAACGTCTTCCTGGTTTGTGACGTAAACGTGGATAGAGCCTAAACAGCTCTGTGTGGGCAGTGCTGCGGCGCCATCTGGTGGACAAAAGATGAACATTAAACCTACTGATTTCAAACTTTCAGTATTTGTTACATAAAATAATTTAAAGCGGCATTACATAATTTTCTAGTTCAGGGTCTGTCACCTGCTTGTCTCCATGGAGATCACCTGGAATGCCTCACAGTATGGCTTTAAACGTGTCTATGATGCATTTATTGAAGTGTTTTTATCGCTGCATGAATATTCCTGACTGTGAGTGGGATCGCCTCTCCACAGATCTGACCTGTAACGTGGCGAGGTGGTGTGACCTGCTTGAAAAATGGACTCTCCACCAGAAAAGTTACACAGTGTAGCTTTAAATGAGTAAGTTACCTCTTTACAAACTGCATGAAATACAGTTTCAAAATCTTGAAAATCAAACCAAAACATTCATAATAATTTTACTCTCATTTTTAATTTCTCTCTTTACTCTCTCTGGGTGCATAGTGCAAATAACGTTGACATGTGAACTTTTAGGACAAAATAAAAATGAAAAAATACTCTTTTTAATGACAAATGAATTCAAAAATTATAATTTTCTTGTGTTGCATCTTCCATAAATATAGTTTTGTTGAAGCCATTGTGATTCTCTGTTGTTGTTTTGAATCGCGTTGGCATTTCTATGGTACAACAGCTCTATCTAGTGGCTGATGAAGAAATTACAGCTTGTTTCAACTTTTTTTTTTTTTTTGGAGGATTTGTTTTAAGTTTATTGAAAATTCAAAACAAGAATTCCCCACATGGAGAACCAAGTGTCCAAAGAAGGCGCTAAAAAGATCAATTTATGACTCTACACCGGGCATGTCCAAACAAATGCCGCCCTCAGACAAATTTTTTATGGGCCTCAGACTTCCAGGTGAATTGACCCAAATGACCTCGCATCAATTAAAAAATACATTTTTACTGCAAGTTTTTGGAAAATTTACCTTGATAAAGCTCATATTTAATATTTAGTGTGTGGTTTTAAGGATCTCAGCGTGAATAAAGACTGATGGTTCATTCTAACGTGTTAAACATGCACATATTTCACATTATGCACTGTATTCAGCATCAGTCTACGGCCCTCGATCGGCCCTCTGCTTCGTCTGTGTTTAGATCTGTGGCCCTTGATTAAAAAAGTTTGGACACCCCTGCTCTACACCATCCACATCGAAGCTAAAAATATTGTGAGATTGTTGTCAGAAATGGTCAAATATTCAGGCTCATCCGTTAGTTTGTAAATATCTGCTTGGAGTAAATAGATCTTGGACCTCAAAAATTGAAAAAATAAATAAATAATTGAGCGGCAACCATGAGTGGACATAGCTAACGCTCTAGTCGTCGTGTGCCAAACAGGAAGTTCTCCAGGAGGCTCTTCCGGCTCCTTCTGAGTCTGGCTCCAGTTGACTCACATTAGGATCTTGTGGCTCGTCTCTCTGTAACTGCTGTTGTGAGTCTCGCCATTTTGGTCTTAAAATGTTCATATGTTGTTTTTCTTTTTTTCGTTGCTCTACATCACAGGTGTCAAACATAAGGCCCGGGGGCCAGATCCGGCCCTCCAAGGCTTTTAATGTGGCCCTTGGGTGATTTTCTACTCAAATATTTTAATGATATTTTCTATTAAATTCTTGTTAATTTTCTGTGGTGTTTATCACAGCAGCGTCTCCAGCGTCTCTGTACGTGGCCCCTCCCACCAGAGCAGCACAAATGAAGACTTGTCTCTTTCCAAACGCTCTTAAAGGACGATCGTTTTGACTGTTGACCGTGACACCCTCATCAGAAAAATGTCCAACATGAGAAAAGTGGATAGTCCAATGAGATTCATTTGGTCTTCAGATATTCTATGTTATTAGGTTCTTTTTTTCAGACCTAGAGTGATATTTCATACCTGACAGTTTCGACTGCTCACTAGCGTCTTCCTCAGAGTCACGTGATGTTGCTGTGACGTGTCTGGTCAGCTGATTTAAACAGGTTTTGGCGCTGTCTTCCTACCGGTGGAGGCAGGAAGACAGCGCCACCTGCAGTCCCACTTCCTCAGGACAGTATCCCACTCTGAGGAAGACGCAAGTGAGCAATCGAAACTGTCAGGTATGAAATAACACTCTAGGTCTGAAAAAAAGAAACTAATAACATGAGAAAAGTGGAGCTGTGTGCAGGATTTTACAACAAAAATGGACTTATTCCTATTTACATACAAGTTCATGTTAAAACACTGTGTTGAAATTTAATTTTTCTTAAAGTTTCAGGTTGTTCATAATATTATAATAAGAAAGAGTTCATCAATTAAAAAAGATTTCTGTAATAGATTTGTGTTTCTCTGCACAAATATTTGAACTTATTGTTATTTTTGGGGTTTATATGACATGAGTTTTCTGATCCAGACACTTTGGGATCAAAGTAGGTTGGATACGACCCCCAGAACAAATTGAGTTTGACACCCCTGCTGTACATGATCAAGATTTTTTTCCCACTGTTTTGTCCATCAAAAAGAGCCTGGCTCCAAATTCGCTCCTGTAACCATGAACATAACGAGCCTCACTTGACGTCACACTCACTTAGTCCATTTCTTTTACAGGGTCTATGGAGGCAACCAATTTTGAGATTTTGGGGGCCCACAGCACAGACCTTAATAAAGATACACAATATTTGACAACAGATTTAGAATCTGTGACGCAGAATCTACAATAATCAAAATTTTCAGCTTCCTTGCTCTATTTTTGATAAAGTTCTGGTCTCTCAAACATGCTTATAAATTAAGGTTTTCGAAAAAGTGAGCATGGCCCCAAAATTTCAACGGGCCATAACTCTGGAACGACTGAAGGGATTGAGCTAAAATTTGAGATTCTTTCATTTGGTGATTTTAGAAATTTTTTGAATTTTTTTCAGCCTAATCTGAGACGGCTCATAGGGGAGGGCAGCTGATTTCATATGGACGGACCCAGAAAAAAAATTAAAATAAATAAAAAAAATAAATAATAAAAAAAGGTAGGAATAAATAATAACTAAATAAACAAATAAATAATAAATAACAAAGGGGTAATGAAAGGAGAGGAAAGGAGAAAAAAAAAAAAAAAACTTAAATTGCAAGAATAATAATTTTTTTCCGTCTTTTTTGTTTTCCCTCCCGCCCTTCCCCTCTTCCATCTCTTCTTTTTTATTACAAACTGTCACACTCTTTCCCTCCCAAATAAAATCTTTTATTGTCTCGTCAACGTCTAATGTCCATTATCGTTTGTACTGTCTCCAAAATCACAAATACGTCTCCGCATAAACTCTGTACGAACTTTTATTTTGTAGTAATAAAACCAGTCAGTCGTGTCAGGTTGTTTCAGAGTTTTATTTTGAAATGAGCGGACTCAGGTAGAAAACATGACGAGACGTGAGCACCTAAACTGCGTGGACCTAAAAAGGGGGGCGTGGCTTGAGTTCTACATCCGTATCCGTTGCCGTGGTTACAGCGTTAAGGCGAGGTTCAGAAGCCGTACTTGGTCTTGAGCTCGTTCACCAGGTTCACGTACTCCTGCATGGCGGCCTCCTTCGCCTTCCCTGAACACAGAGGAGCAGCGTCCGTTACAGTCGCAAGAAAACGGCGACACGTGCAAATAGTGAGCTGAAAGTGTCGGACTCTTTTCACTAAAACACGGTTAAAGCCACAGAACGGGACTTTACAGCTAATAGACTAAAGAAAAGATCATCACAGGGAAGAAGATACCGCAATTTTGTTTTTATAGATGCATCAAGAATCTCGGACTTCAGGTCATCGCGCAATCCATACTGGGAAGGATCCTCCAAAAAAGTGAGCATCAAACCTCCATGTTTGTTTTCCCAGTGGGATGTGTCTATTTTCAAGTCTTTTGAACCATTTCACTTTTGTTTCTGGTTCTGATATTGTCATATTTTAGTTTTGGGATTCGGACATCGTAATTGTGTGGTTGTTGGATCCTAACAGCGAAAAACGGCTTGAGAAATGTGTTTGTGAACTCCATAAATGCAAAAGAGAATCAGATCTGTGTGACTGCAAACCTCCGTTCAAACTGTTTCGCTTTCCAATGGAATTGAAAAATAGTGAAAGGTGAAGGTGATGGGCAGGATTGATCCACAGGAAGAACCAAAAAGGAAAACTTTGACTGTCTAAATCACAGGTGTCAAACATAAGGCCCGGGGGGCCAGATCCGGCCCTCCAAGACCTTTAATCTGGCCCTTGGCTGATTTTCTACTAATATTTTAATTATATTTTCTATTAAAATCTTGTTAATTTTCTGTGGTGTTTATCACAGCAGCGTCTCCAGCGTCTCTGTACGTGGCCCCTCCCACCAGAGCAGCACAAATGAAGACTTGTCTCTTTCCAGACGCTCTTAAAGGACGATCGTTTTGACTGTTGACCGTGACACCCTCATCAGAAAAATGTCCAACATGAGAAAAGTGGAGCCGAGTGCAGGATTTTACAACAAAAATTGACTTATTCCTGTTTACAAACAAGTTCATGTTAAAACATTGTGTTGAAATTTGAATTGAAGTTTCAGGTTGTTCATAATATAATAATATTTTGTAAAAGAAAGAGTTCATCAGTTAAAAAAGATTTCTGTAATAGATTTTTTCTCTGCACAAATATTTGAACTTATTGCTGTTTTGGGGGTTTATATGACATGAGTTTTTTGATCTGGCCCCTTTGGGATCAAAGTAGGTTGGATTCGGCCCCCGGACCAAAATGAGTTCGACACCTCTGGTCTAAATCATCCCGAGTTTGCAGAGAACATTTTGTATGTGGAGCGACAACAAAACAAAAACACCGATCTCTCGCTCAACGTCGGTTACAAATTTAAAAAGTCAACGCCAAAGCAAAAGGCACCAGCTGTTCACCAAGAAACACCTTCCACTGCAAAGAGACCAAGACGTGATGTTTGCTGTAAAACCACAAGAACAAGAAAGTGCAGCTCAGTCTGTTTGTCTTCTGCTCCTCTCACTTAACAAACAGGATTTTGCTTTGTTGTCGCTCCACATACAAAATGTTCTCTGCAAACTCAGGATGATTTAGTCAGTCAAATGTTTCCTTTTTGGTTCTTCCTGTGGATCAATCCTGCCCATCGCCTTCACCTTTCACTATTTTTCAATTCTGTTGGGAAGAGAAACAGTTTGAACAGAGGTTTGAGTCACACACATCTGATTCACTTTTGCATTTATGGAGTTCGCAAACTTCCGAAGCCGATTTTCCGCTGTCAGGATCCAACAACCACACAATTACGATGTCCGAATCCAACAACTAAAATATGACAATATCAGAACCAGAAACAAAAGTGATATGGTTCAAAAGACTTGAAAAGATCAACTTTGTCAATAGACGCATCCCACTGGGAAAACAAACATGGAGGTTTGATGCTCACTTTTTCGGAAAATCCTTCCCAGTATGAATTGCGCAATGACCGAAAGTCCGAGATTCTTGATGCATCTATTACCTTATCGCTGAGCCCGAGGGGTGGGACGAGATCAAGGACGGAAAGTAACAAATTACATTTACTCATGTTACTGTAATCGAGTAGTTTTTATGAGAATTTGTCATTTTTTGAAGTAGTTTTTGAGTACATTTTGACCCTAGAATTTTACTTCATTACATTGGAACCTGCACTCGAGTAAAATTTAGACTGAAAAAAAAAAAAGAAATGCGAAAAAACAAAACAAAAAAACAATCGGTCAGAAATGAAATTAAATTGCGCAGGTTTGCACGCGAATGAAAACCTCGGTCAAATCTCGGACAGATATTTGCGTTCAAACACAAAATAGGTGTTAAAAAGTGTTAAAATAGTCGGTGTTAAGCTCAGATGTTTTTAAAAAAAGGTACAAAGTTTGTCTGGATCATCTAAAAGTCGATTAAAACAACTTGTGCTGGATAAAATTTATGATTCATCCTTTTTTACATCAAATAATTGAAAGTAACTAAGTCACTTTTACTCAAATTACACTTTAAATGAAGTACTTTTTTACTTTTACTTGAGTAGGAATTAAGCAAAGTCGAGATACTTCAACTTAATTAAAAATTTTTCTGTACTTTTTCCACAATTTCTAGAAGATGAGACACGAGATTTGGATCTACAAGAACGAGACAAGACGAGATTTTGACATTATTTGTTTGAAATAAATATATAATATCGATATATCGTAAAGGAAAAAAGTAAATGTACTAAAATACTAAATTTTTAACTTGATTCTATAGAAGATTTTGAAGTTATTCGAATGTTGATCATGATTTTGATTTGTGTGTTTAACGATCTCTAACCTTATATAATCGAGTTTAAACGATTAAAGCTTAAAGTTTATTTTGGGATATTTTTAAATAAATAAATATATTTTATTTTTTAAATATAGAGATTGTAGCAAAGCTGGATATATAGTTTATTTTGTGTTTTATGGATGTTTTTCTGCCTTATTTCACGTTCAAACATATTTTACTTATTTTATATTTTACACATCACAAAACTGCTCCAAGGTTCATATTTGTAGCCTACATTTATTTTCAATTTGAAAGTTTTGCGTAAATTATCAATAACAGTGTTTTTGTTTTTGAGATAGAAATGCTGAATAAATGCACCGTGTAACTAAAAACGAATAATCTGAATAATTGTGATTTCGATATTGACCAAAATAATCATGATGATTTTTTTCCGTAATCGAGCAGCTCTAGAAGATTTTTCAAAATAAGTTTAGAATTTAAGAGGTACGACATACGCAGCCACCACAATGATAATAATCCAACACTTGTTTAAATTGTACAATGGTGATGAAAAAAAAGTTCACAAGTGGAAGTACATTTGTTTTGCTCCTGTATTATATTTTACTTAAGTAAAAGTATAGTAGATTTTAGATAAAGTGGTTTTGATAAATTATTATTTATAATTATATTACAGTATATATTAGAGTATATTTTAGTTTGTTTAAACGTGCTAAAAATAATTATAAAATAAACCCTTCTGCACTTTAAGAAACATCACTGCACCTTTCTGTTTCTCCCAGGCGTCCCACTTGGCTTTTCCCATGAAATCCAACATCCCCGGACGAGCTGCAGAGAGAAAAGAGACGAGAGAAAAACAAGAGAAACGAGAGAAACAGACAGAGAGACAAAAGAGAAACAAGAAGATGTTAACACATTTTAACAGAATATAAAAGTATGAATCCTCATTTCCCCTTTGTCTAAATAAAGTACAAAGAAAATTATTTACACTTTATATTTTCTTAATGACACGGAGTCACTTTTTTGCTTTTCTTTTTTCACCACAAGATGGAGCAGAGGAGCACAGAGGCGTCAGTTTGAGCTGAAACTTCAGTAGAACTTTGTCACCATCATACTGATCAATAATAAAATCACTTATCAATGTTTCCAAAGACGCTGATATGAACATCGAGCTGTTTGATCAAATGGACCTTTAAGACACAGAGTCCTCACCTGCAGACAGACACGTCAGAGTTTGTCTCATTCTCAGTTTATGGACAGGCCTCATGTGAAAACACTTGATAATACTCCCTACAACTCACCCTTATGTAATAGATAATGCTATGTCCTGTCAATCATCAAATCTTCCCATGACCTCTTGTATAAAGCTGTGAGTTTATATTTTATTACTGATCTTTCCATTTTATTTTGACTGTATATTTACATTTATATGATTACGTCTTTTTTCACACGTCTCTTGTCATCTTTTTTGCTACTTATTTAGAATTTATTTTACCATTTCCATTTTTGCTCTTTGTTATTATATTTTTTGTGACGTGTGAAGTACTGTGTCCAAACAATTTCCCTTGTGGATCAATAAAGTTTGTCCACGTCTAAGTCTAAGAAAGATCAGAACCTCCAGAACTCCCTCCCTGAGCTGCAGCGGCTGCACTAGCACTGATTTATGACTGGCTGAAGCTGCTGGGGTTTAGGTAGAGACCGTTTAGATCAGAGAGACACATTTTAGGTTTAAACCAACTGGATTTCAGCATCAAAACTGGAAACACAAACGAGAGAATAATTATGTTTAGAACCAAAACACCAAAAAAATTATAATTAAACAAGTCAAATGTTTTTGCAACCAAGGATCAATCAGCAGTGCAGTTGTTATCAGTAAAAGTACTTTGGACATGTACCTCGTATCTGAGGGCAGAGGTCGTGTTTATAGAATTTATAATTAAAGTCTTATGAACCGTTTCTTCAAAAGACAAAAGAAAACGAGTGCATATGAAAAGTCGTGTGGCGTCTTATTTTAGCAGTGTGTAGTTCTACATCATTATACTGATACATCACAAGGACATCATGCTGGGGGGTTCTACATGTAGGTGTATGGCAGAATGTTTATCAGTTACCATGGTGACACAGTGCACATGTTAACCAAAACAGTTTAGACAGTGAGAAAATTTAAGAAAAAGTACAAAATGGATTTAAACAAAGGATTTTCAGGAGCATGTGATCAATAGCTAAATTGTGACCAGGGATGTGATTTATTGTTTTTTTTTAGCAAAAACACTGTTTGAAAATCGATGACAACTATTCGAATATTATTCGAAAAATCGACCCCCCTCCCGCACACACACACACACACACACACACACACACACACACACACACACACACACACAGACACACAGACACACACACACAGAGACACACACACACAGACACACACACAGAGACAGACACACACACAGAGACACACACACACACACACACACACACAGACACACACACACACACAGAGACACACACACACAGAGACACACACACACAGAGACACACACACACAGAGACAGACACACACACACACAGACACACACACAGACACAGACACACGACGACGGATTGGGTGAAACAGTTCTTTAAGCACAAATGGTTTAATCAAACAACAATAACCTTCCAAATCACATTTGAAATGAACAACTTTGTTGAGCAAACCGCCTGTGAAACCACATGAAACTATATTCTAGACTTTCTGAATTTTAAAAATGCATGACCGACCGTGTACTGTAGCCTACAGCTCTACTTTCACTGAACTGCCCATTTGGTCAATTTGGCCAAACCCAGTCAAACAGCCGGAATTGTCGGCAACAATAACACGTTTAAACAAGCTCTCAGAGCCCTGGCTCTGGCTACAGGCCTGTGCCATATTTTTGTTCAAAAAAATTAACATTTTTCTTCTGTTATTTTGGAGCAGCCTCTACTCTTGGCCTAGTCCACTGTGCCTATAGGGAGTCTGTCAGTGGAACCTTCTGGCCGAATGCGTTACATGAAGTATTGTTTAGGAAACGTCTTTTTTTTAAATTACTATCCAATATTTGAACATATAACAAATATTTGACTATTTGAAAATCATGTCTGATCCCTACTTGTGACTGTACATTTATTTGAGAAAATCTGTTCACCTGTTCTAGTTCCAACTACGTCAGTTTTTTCTGGTCAGATTGTGTTGAAATAAAACTCAGATTAAAGACTAACAGAGCCTCAGACAGAACATGCATACAGTTAGCATCAATCAGCTGCAGTGTGTCTGTGTGTGTGTGCATGTGTAGATGTGTGTCTGTGTGTGTGCATGTGTAGATGTGTGTCTGTGTGTGTGTGCATGTGTAGATGTGTGTCTGTGTGTGTGTGCATGTGTACATGTGTGTGTGTGTGTGCATGTGTACATGTGTGTCTGTGTGTGTGTGCATGTGTAGATGTGTGTCTGTGTGTGTGTGCATGTGTAGATGTGTGTCTGTGTGTGTGTGCATGTGTAGATGTGTGTCTGTGTGTGTGTGCATGTGTACATGTGTGTGTGTGTGTGCATGTGTACATGTGTGTCTGTGTGTGTGTGCATGTGTAGATGTGTGTCTGTGTGTGTGTGCATGTGTAGATGTGTGTCTGAGTGTGTGTGCATGTGTACATGTGTGTCTGTGTGTGTGCGTGTACATGTGTGTCTGTGTGTGTGCATGTGTAGATGTGTGTCTGTGTGTGTGCATGTGTACATGTGTGTGTGTGTGCATGTGTACATGTGTGTGTGTGTGTGTACATGTGTGTCTGTGTGTGTGTGCATGTGTACGTGTGTGTGTGTGTGTGTGTGTGTGTGTGTGTGTGTGTGCATGTGTACATGTGTGTCTGTGTGTGTGTGCATGTGTACATGTGTGTGTGCGCATGTGTACATGTGTGTGTGTGCATGTGTACATGTGTGTCTGTGTGTGTGTGTGCATGTGTACGTGTGTGTGTGTGTGTGTGTGTGTGTGTGTGCATGTGTACATGTGTGTCTGTGTGTGTGTGCTGTGTGTGTGTGTGTACATGTGTGTGTGCGCATGTGTACATGTGTGTGTGTCGTCGTCTCACCTGTGTTGACGTCTCCCACTGTGGCCTGTTTGTACAGAGAGTAAACCTGCAGCATCTCATCGTCTGAGGGTTTGGCCTTCAGGTTCTTCACATCTGTGGCGGCGCACTCGAACTGGGCCTAAAACAGACACACACACACACACACACACACACACACACAACACATACAAATATTAGGTAAATGTATTATTATGAGCCTCTGGGCTGTACTGCACACACCGCGGTGCAGAGGCATGTAAAGTCTGAACTACATTTGTATTATCTACATTTGTTTTTTACTTTGTATACACATTTACATAATTATGCCTTTTTTTTCCTCTTTGTTATGTGATGTGTGAGCTCCTGTGTCCAAGTAATGGCACTGGTGGATCAATAAAGTTTGTCAAAGTCTAAACATCATCACACACTACAGGATTTTTCAGTCTTAAACGATTTTTAAATGTGCAACAACAAAAAAAAAAAACACACCACAGACAAGAGGAGAATATTACGAGATTTTAAAACTCTGATCGCAAAGACCGCAGCCGGATCAGTCTGCAGACCACAGGATAAAAAGTTGTGAGTGTGGTCACGCCAGTCGTTTCATGTCTAAAGTAAAACCATTCGCTCAGAGACTCTAAACTGTGTTATTATTATTTGTGAAATGTGGTGCAAAACTTCAGATACATGCTATTTTAATCATAAAAGATCGGCGATAAAGTCCACAGGAAGTAGAGTCACTGTCGCTGATCTGCAGCTTCACCTCGATCCGTGCGCTGTGTGGATGTAAACAAACACACGTGAGGAACTACTCCCACCTTTTTACTTTACTTTAACTGGATTAACAGCGATGTTTTGTCAGGTATCCCCTGGTTTGACTACCCCAAATTTAAGATTTAAAAAAAAAAACTTTTTAAGACCACGTAACTGTAAATCAAGACCAACATCGCACCCATTATGCAGACGAAAAACAGCAAATCCGGTTCTAATAATGACCAACTAACTACCACTACTACATCTAGAATCTAAGAGCCACTGTGGACTAAACCGACACTTCCTCATGATCCATCCAACGCCTTCCTCCGCTGTACTGATCATTTACTTGTTACCGGCGGCGCCGCAAAGCAAAGCATTGTTTGCGCAGACTCCAAATTAGACGTTCAATCGTGTTACGTGACGTCACATTGTTTTTTTTTTCCTCCCTCCGTTTAACATTGCACAACAGCCCGGTTGAGTTTACAAAGAAATAGGCTAATGAAATTTAAGACATTTGTGTAAAAAATAAGACTTGGGACAACATAATTTAAGACTTTTTAAGGCCTTAATTTAGGAACATGAAATTTAAGACCTTTATAAGACTTTTAAGACCCAACGGTTACTCTGTTTGTGGATAAATTCTATGGATAATTTGGACGAGATGCTGCAGTTTGAATTTACAACTTTACGATAGGTGAAGTAATAATTATTTTCACTATTTCCTGAGTTAGTGTCCGTCACTCATCTGCCCCTGACGCTCTGTTTTATTGTCTGTTGCTGTAGCGTTGTTGATGTTTGTTGGTTACGATCTGACAGAGCAGCTCAGAGTCACACTGACACATTCACAGGACGAGCGCAGCGGCTTCAAAATCGCACAAAAAGACACAAAGTCGGGTCACGTAAATTGCAAATCGCAGCGTAATTCGGGCAAATTCTCCTCTAAGTCCAAGTGTCGTCAGTGTGAAGAACAGAGAGCACATTGATGAAGACTGGGATTCTGGGAGCCAAGTGGGACAGAGGGGAGAGGAGTGGACGGTGACTAAAGCCAAAAAAACAAACAAAAAAAACAATACTGGACACAAAAAGGATCCTTCAGAAATGTTTGCGGCTGGTGGGAAAGTGTTCTCGCCTCACAACAAAAAAGATTCATGTTCACATTCCCGTCACGATCATTACTAAATCGACTTATGGTTCAATATTCAAGAGTGAGATACTGCCCGATCATAATTTGGTTTTGTGTTTTGTTTTATATAAAAAAAAGGCTTTCTATATTAATTAATTTCATGAACATAAACTAAATAAACATCTAAAATTTAACACAAAACAAATGTTAAATTTTCTCCAGTCTGAAGTCTAAGCTGCAAATGTTTTTTATGAAGTCAATTTTTTCTATCCTCTCTCCAAACCGGAGATTCTCAGGCCATGTATCGTTCGTTCAATCATTTTTCAAAATATAAATAAGAAAAAAAAAACAAGAAAATTTAAAAAAAAGAGAACAATTTTCTTCACCATTTGTCTCTGGAAAAAAAAAAAAAAAAAACGATAACGATTTGTTTTTTTTCAGTTTGCGATTTTGAGACTGAGACCAGGACTGGGACCGAGACCAGGACTAAGACCAGGACCGGGACCAGGACTGAGACTGGGACCGAGACCAGGACTAAGACCAGGACCGGGACCAGGACTGAGACTGGGACCAGACTGGGACCAGGACCAGGACTGAGACCGGGACAAGATCGAGACTAAGACCAGGACCGGGACTGAGACCGGGACCACGACCAGGACCGAGACAGGACTAAGACCAGGACTGAGACTGGGACCAGACTGGGACCAGAACGGGACTGGGACCGAGACCAGGACTAAGACCAGGACCGGGACCAGGACTGAGACTGGGACCAGACTGGGACCAGGACCAAGACTGAGACCGGGACAAGATCGAGACTAAGACCAGGACCGAGACCGGGGCCACAACCAGGACCGAGACAGGACTAAGACCAGGACTGAGACCAGGACTGAGACTGTGACCAGATTGGGACTGAGACTGGGACTGGGACTGAGACTGAGACCAGGACCAGGACCAGGACTGAGACTGGGACCAGACTGGGACCAGAACGGGACTGGGACCGAGACCAGGACTAAGACCAGGACCGGGACCAGGACTGAGACTGGGACCAGACTGGGACCAGGACCAAGACTGAGACCGGGACAAGATCGAGACTAAGACCAGGACCGGGACCGAGACCGGGGCCACGACCAGGACCGAGACAGGACTAAGACCAGGACTGAGACTGAGACTGGGACTGAGACTGGGCCTGAGACCGGGACCAGCCCAGGACTGAGACTGGTTTAGTCCTGGTTCAGTCCGGCATCACAGTTTAACTCACGGAAACGAGAAACGGTCGTTATCAGGTTTTTTTTTTCCATTTTTCATTTAAACACAAAATCAAAAACTGAAAACACGAATCATTATCTGTTTTTTCATTTTGGTTTTAGAGACAAATAATGAAGAAAATAGTCGTTTTGAACAATGAATGAACAAATGACACACAGATTATTCTCAACCCCCATTTTGTTTTCCCAGTTTTTAACGTTTGACTCCCAGAGCAGGTGTTCGATGCTACAATAACAACACCCAACGAACACCCGGCGAATCAGGTTACACGCCAACGGTGCCTGGAGGTCAAAGGTCACCAGGGAGGATACGCTCATACACCTGAACTGCTCCTCCGCCGTTCCACCATCTGTTTTGTTTTCCGTTTGAGAGAAAAACTCAGCCTAAAATCTGCAGGGTTTGTGTTTTAAAAACGTGTAAATGAAACAAAACACAACTCCAGATCAGAAAATAGTAGGAATGCAACAATATCCCAATCTCTCGGTACGATATTATCACGTACGATATTTTGGAGAGGCCGATATAATTGTAGATAGAACGCTTTTTTTTTTTTTTTTTGCTTTTGAAATACCCTGACAATATTTTGGTGTGAATTATTTCCATCAAAATCCCCAAAATTTAAGTAAAAAACGTATTTCTTCACGTTGTCTGCGCTGAAATGAATCATGGGATATGTAGTTCCCAATGTTTATAAGCGGTTGCTGCTGTAAAAAAAAAAAGCATTTAAGCAAAGGAACTTGTAATTCGTTATATTGTGAGACTTTTGACGATACGATATCACGATATTTCGGTTACTGTTACATCCCTAAAAAAAAGCGTAATATGGGCCCTTAAATACGAGCCATGTTATTGATTTTTACGTACTAAAAATACCATAAAAGAAATTCAGCTCGAGAAAGGTTACAGAGCAGCTTTAAATAATACTTCAGCTCCGGTTGAATCATTGGTATGTGATAAGTCTGAACCCGAGCAACCACAGAGCAGCACTGAGGTTTGGGCAGAAGCCAAATAAACCAAAATAAAGCACAGTGACACCGACAGACGGACTTCAGACAGACTACGGAAATACTACTGAGTGCTACAGAAAACAAATACACATAATACTTATACTAGTAATTAAAAACTCAAAAAATTACACTGTCATTTAGGCAGTATCCAAATTTTGATACCGTTAAACCTTCTCGGGATTTTACCGGGGTATACGGTATTACTGTATTACCAAAATGTTTAGTACAACTTACGTAAGCTGTACGATCTGTGTGTACGACCTGCAGACTTATAATCTCTGAAAAGTTTCACATGAACCATCTCCAACACGAAAGAAACACAGAACAGACTCACCATCAGCAGAACACCCCTCTGTCACAGAAAGAACACTCATATTCCACTGAATCGTGTCCTTTAGTCCGACAGAAGCACTTTAAGGTTTATGCAAATGAGTCACGTGGTTTTAAGTTTTGTTTCTATAAAACTTAAACAAATGTGTCCTGAAGCCAAAATGTTGCCAAATTGCAGAAGTACTAGTATTTTTTTGGGACCAACTCTCTTGCGGTCGGACTTGCCGTCTTGTCTTGGTCGTCCCTTATGAACGTCACGTGACAACGGAGCGAAACCAATCGAGCGTCATCTCCCCGCACAGTTAAAAGAAACATTATAGACACTGTTGGATTTAAATCGTGATGGAAAAAAACGGATAACGGCCGTTTTCCATTTCCGTGACTTAAACTGAGATGCCAGACTGAACCAGGACTGAAACAGGACTAAAACCAGGTCCGGGACCAGACCAGGACTGAGACCGGGACTAGACAGGGACCAGATCGGAACTGAGACCAGGACTGAAAACGGTTCAGTCCTGGTTCAGTCCTGGTCTCAGTTCTGATCTGATCGCTGTTTATTCTGGGACTGAGACCGGGACCAGATCGGAACTGAGACCAGGACTGAAAACAGTCCAGCCCCGGTCCAGTCCCGGTCCAGCCCCGGTCCAGTCCTGGTCCAGTCCCGCTCCAGTCCCGGTCCAGCCCCGCTCCAGCCCCAGTCCAGCCCCGCTCCAGCCCCGCGTCCAGCCCCAGTCCAGCCCCAGTCCAGCCCCAGTCCAGTCCTGGTCTCAGTTCTGATCTGATCGCTGTCTATTCTGGGACTGAGACCGGGACTGAGACCGGGACTGAAAACAGTCCAGCCCCGGTCCAGTCACCGAATCGGGAAAAGATTCCGTGATTGAATCATTTTCCATTATTCATTTAAACACAAAATCAAAAACTGAAAAAACAAATTGTTTTATTCATTTTGATTTTAGAGACATTTTTTTTAAATTTTATTTTGAAAAACGGCTGAACGAATGATACACGGATTAACTACATAGACCATGATCCTTTGCTCCATTTCAGTGCAGACTACAAGAAGAAATAACAGTTCTAACACTTTTAAATCTTAGTTCTTTGAATTAAGTCTTGTCGTGGTATTTTAAGAGCAAAAAGTAAGAGAATTCACAGTTTTGTTACCCTCCACAAAACAGCGTAATAAATTCCCTTGTACCGTGAGATGCAAATCGAGAAAATATCGTACACAGAGATGTGGATAACGTTACATCCACATTTAAATAACAGCAACACTGCCTGAAGTTTGAGCACATTGACCAAGGCACCATTTCTTGCATAAAAGTTGAAATTCCAAACATGTGATCGTTCAAAGTGTTGAAATCAGAGGCCTGAACAGAAGCCGCGCTGTCGTTACCAAATCAGCTTCAGAACCCCCGACCAGAGCAAAGGTCTGTTTTATGACTCGAAAACTCTTTGACACACATCAGATTAAAGCGAAGGCTGCTATTTAAAGATTATTTCAAATGCGTCTGTGACACAATGTTGACACCGTACTAATGTCACAACTCACGAATGAATGAAAATTGTGTGAGAAATTATAAAACAGTTTAGTGAAGTAATTGAGTCATCCTGTATCCCGGTTATGACTGGATCTGAAAGTGACTATGAAACACCCATTTTAATCATCAAAACAGTGGATACCGTATTTTTTGTGCGCTCGTAAGTCCCCAACCCCATCAAAAAACGACTGCGCCCCCACAATCCAGCACGACTTCAGTAAACTACAAAGCCGCACCACCCGCAGAACACGCAAACACACACGGAGCAGACAGCGACCGCACAGCGAAACACACCCACAGACACACTCATCACTCCACGCCGACGAGGAACGGAACGAAGGAACGAACTGAAAAAGCGAGTGCAATGTGCCGCTTCTAGACACGACTGAACAACTGAGTCACTGCGAACACGCCGACAATCCGTTGGTCCCAGACACACCCTCCCTACACGCCACAACTGAACAAAGCCCAGAGTCACCGTGAACGAACAAACAAACAAAACCACTCACTCATCAACTGTTGTGTTTCCTTTAATGTCCAGTGCGGTTTATTTGTGAAAAAAGTTCGAAAATAGACCATTTAATGACAGAGCGCCTAATAGCCTGGAAATACGGTAGTTCTAGCTCCGCTGTTTCCTGTTTGTCTCTGGTTTGTTTAAACTGTTTTCTGCAATAGCGTCACATGACCGAGGTCACAAACCCAGCAAATCATGAAGGTGCAAGTCACAGTGACGTGGTCCAATAAGGACACGACTAGAGCTCCTACGTCAGAGTCAGCGTCGACTAGAGCTCCTAACGACATTTAAGACAGGCTCCAGAACGCCAGTTACAGCATCCAGCAGTATCAGGATCAGAAGTCACAGTCCACTGACCCAGAAGTTCCACTGACCCATCCAACTTCCTTTTGTGTTTCCTTTTAATTGTGAAAAAAGTTTGAAAAAAAAAGTTTGAAGTTTGAAAATGACACGTCATTTAATGCATCTTATAATCCAGAACGCCTAATAGTGCGGAAAATACGGTATGTTAAATGTGCTGCATCAAAAAGTTTCCTTCCACTAAACAAGCAACAAAACTGTAGCGCTGTAACAAAATAATTTAGTAAAATATAACAAAAAATAGTCTTGGTGAATCTATGTATCATTCGTTTTTCAATATAAAACCAAAAATTAAAAAAATTTAAAAACAAGTATTTTCTTCATTATTTGTCTCCAAAACCAAAATGAAAAAAGAGATTTGTTTTTTCAGTTTTTGATTTTGTCTTTAAACAAAAAATGGGGGGAAAAAAAGGATAACGGCCGTTTACACACAGATTTTGGTGATATACTGATACTGTATCATTACATTCAACTATACGATATATCGATATTTTTGCACACCCCTACTATGCACTAGCCAGTCTGGCACCACCTAGTGCCTCCGCTCAATTTCATTTCTCTCCAGCGACTACATCAGGAATCAGAATACACTAGATGGAAGTGTGAGTTCCGGCACCAGCCAATCAGAGAAGAGACATACATTCAGTGTTGTCAACGATTCCCGAGATCGAGGATTTAAAGCCGGAACAAAGAAAATGTTTGGTGAATTTCATCAAGAGGAAAGACGTTATTGACCTTCTTCCTACGGGATTTAGGACAAGCTTCATATACCAGTTAGACCTGTTAGCGGCGCATTACATACGTCACGACCAAACAGCAGTGATTGGAATAATTGAAAAAAGTACCCGCCTACCGTCAAGCAAACTAATTCTAACACTGCAAGGACAGACAGTTTCTACGAAGTGAAACCGGCTGATGAATCAGGGTCGCGCCACCTACCATCTCCACTCAATTTATCTAGGTTAGGAATCACAATATACTAAACGGTTTGCAAGAACCCCGGAAGTTCAAATTCGGGCACCAGCCAATCAGTGAAGAGCCATACATTCTGTGTTGTCAACGATTCCCGAGATCGAGGATTTAAAGCCGGAACAAAGAGAATGTTTGGTGAATTCAAGGGGAAAGACGCGATCGTCCTTCTTTGTATGGGATTTGGGAAAAGCTTAATACACATTACATACGTCACGACCAAATAGCAGCAATTGGTTAAATACAGAAAGTACCCATCTACTGTCGAGCGAACAAATTCTAACGCTGTGAGGTCAGATAGTTTCCACGAATTGAAACCGTCTGGTGAATCAGTCTAACAAAACTGTGGCGCTGTAACAAGAATAATTTAGTATAATAACAAAAAATAGTCTTGACGATATATCGATAATGTATCATTACATTAAACGGTACGATATCGATATTTTTCAGCAAAAAAGATTGCACTGGTTTACTGCAGGTGTATAGCAGGACAAATGAAAATTGGGAGGGTTTTCGATTGCTTTACGCCCAATTCTAGCTCTAATATAGGGGCAGACGTCAACATACGACCCCATCCCCGCGTTACGAGTACTATAAACACTCTGCAACCTTCAGATCGAACAAAAACAGCGTCAGAAGAAGCAAATGCACCCGTTTATGCAACACGAGCTAGTCCAGATGAGCTAGCGCCCATTCATGTCGAGGGGGGGTTTGCCTCATTTCGGACGCGTTTTGCAAAATGTACAGCGATCAAATTACGTTTACAAAAGCAAGCATCGTTTTTACACACCTGGAGGTCTGCCATGTTGAGTTTGTGGTCCGTAAAGATGAACGGGCTCAGCGCAAGAACCGGAAAAAAGGCAGCGGCGAAAAAAGGAAAAGGAAGCGAGTGAAAGGGTCCAGAGGTCTCCACGCTACGCTACATTCGGACACTCCCCCCCCCCTCTGCGTACTCGACACGTGATTGGCCGGGGCGGTGACTGACACGAATGAACTGTCAGTCATTGGGTGGCGTGAAGTTTTTCAGCCAATCACGGAGCGCTAAAGCAGGAAGTGTGCGGAGGAGGCGGGCGCTGCTTTGACAGATGTGGGGCGAAAGGCGAAGGGTGAAATCGTAGCTCCGGGCGAGGGTTTTTGAGGTTAACATTGCTTCATACTTCGGTTTTTAAAATGTATTATTATTACTACTATCAGTCTTTTATATTTAAAAAACAAAACAAAACGATTAAAGCTTGCATAAGAAAAAAAAAGTAAAAAATACAAAATGTAAACACTACGACGGAGTATAAGGGTCACATAAAAAAAAAAAAAAAAAAAAAAAAAAAAAAACAAACATGCTGGCGCTACGAGAATAAAGTCGTAACATTTCGACATTAAAGTTGTAATATTATGAGAATAAAGTCAAAGCCAGAAAAAAGTCGTAATTTTACGAGAATAAAGTCATAATTTTACAGGAATAAAGTCGAAGTTAAAATAAAGTCGTGATATTATGAGAATAAAGTTATAATATTATGAGAATGAAGTCGTAATAAAATCAAAGTCAAAGTGAAAAATGTGGCAGAAGAAGAACCTTGTTTTTCAATATAAAACCAAAAATAAGAAAACCAACAACAATTTTCTTCATTATTTGTGCCTCCGGACTGAACCAGGACTGAACCAGGACTGAACCAGGACTAAACCAGGACTAAACGAGGTCCGAGACCAGACCGGGACTGAGACCAGGACTTAGACCGGGACCAGACAAGGACTGAGACCAGGATTGAGACCGGGAACAGGACCAGGACTGAAAACGGTTTAGTCCTGGTTCAGTCCTGGTTCAGTCCGTATGCGGCGCAATATTCCCGCATCGCATTTTAAAGTCACGGAAACCCCATTTCCCATTTCCGTGACTTAAACCAAGACTAAACTAGGACTAAACCATTTTCAGTTCTGGTCTGGTCCCGGCCTCAGTCCTGGTCTTTCTGGTTTGGTTCCGGACCTGATTTAGTCCTGATTCAGTCCTTGTTCAGTCGAATGAACGAATGAAACACGGATTCTTCTCCTTTACAAAATGCTTCAAATTTTTCATTCTCCACTCGTTCAGACTTTCCGAGCAGCCGATATTCTATTAATATTACCACTTTATTTTGGCTACGACTTTATTCTCATAAAATTACTACTTTATTCTCGTAAGTTTACGACTTTATTCTCATAAAAATATGACTTTATTCTCGTAAAAAATTACGACTTTTTCTGGCTTCGACTTTATTCTCATATTGCGACTTTAATGTCGAAATGTTACGACTTTATTCTCGTATTTTTTTTTTTATCTGACTACTCTGTCGTACTTCATACTTCGGTTTCTAAAATGTATTATTATTACTGCTATCAGTCTTTTACATTTAAAAAACAAAACAAAACGATTAAAGCTTGCGTAAGAAAAAAAAGTAAAAAATACAAAATGTAAACACGGATAGATTCAATGTAATTTATTCACCATTAAAACTCCCACAGCGCCTTTAAATTAAAATTAACTCTGGAATGAAGCCAAAACATTAAATTATTTCACTTTTGAGGTTACGTGTAATTATAATTATTTTTAAAATCCATAAAAATATAAGGTTTATTTTATTTATAGACCTTTTTTACAACGGTCAGAAGTATCGTGATCAGTATTGGGAAGGTTACTTTTAAAATGTATTCCCCTATAGATTACAGATTATGTACTCCAAACTGCAATTTGTAACGTAATCCATTAAATTACTTCAAGTGAGTAATGTAATCTGAATACTTTGGATTACTTGATATTGTCATGTTTTTTAGAACTACATGAATGAACCAACCACATCCTGAAAATTCATGTTTGTTTTCTTCAAATTGTCTGTTGAGCCCAAGTCTCCATGAACAGACTTTTGTTTTACTGAGGAGAAACAAAGACGAGGATCTGAACATGAGGTTTTGACTGATAAAAGAAAATAAAAAGTCCAGTTTTTACTTAAACATACTAAAAATATTGATAGAGAAATTATTTTTAAATGAGATCACTGCTGCTTTAAATTATGTCCATCCTAATGTTAAGTGTCATATTGTTTAGACCAGGTTTTAGATCTGGTTTAGTCCTGGTTTAGACCTGGTTGTAGACCTTGTTTAGTCCTAGTTTAGTCCTGGTTTAGTCCTGGTTTAGTCCTGGTTTAGTCTTGGTTTTAGTCCTATTTCAGACCTGGTTTAGTCCTATTTTAGACCTGATTTAGTCCTAGTTTAGTCCTGGTTTTAGTCCTGGTTTGGCCCAAAATGTAAAAACAGGAAAATACCTCCATGTAATCCATTTATTTTAACAAAGTAACTGTAACTGAATACAGTTACTCATAATTTGTACTCTGATTACATAACTCCGGTACATGTAATCTGTTACTCCCCAACACTGGTCACGATGTAGGTAAACATAACTCCTGGTTATTGATGTTCTATGGCAAAATATCTGCATAAATGTCTGGTGTATTATTGTAAAAAAGGTCTCCACAAACAAAAAAAGTTCCACAAATATTGTTATCAGCAAAATTTACATCAGAAATACTCTAAAATTCTACAAAAAAAAAAAAAAAAAAAAAAAAAAAAAAAAAACTATAAAAAATGAAAAACATTGCTGCATCTAAGTTGGAAAATTATTTTGCGGAATAAAGTTTTAAAAAGTTTTACAAGTCCTGAGAAAACAGACAAACATTTCCAAATTTGTATACATTTAAGTTTTTGACAAACTCGACAAAACTTTTATTTGCCACATTTTTTAAAACATAACTTAAAACATTCTTCCATTCTTCCACGCGATAAAAGAACTAAAAAAAAAAAAAAAAGGCACCACCACCCAGCTCATTCTAAAAGTCTTTGTGTAAACATTACGTCCGGCTCTGGATCCTTGATGCGCGACCTTTGACCTTTGGCCTCATTAGCGGTGAGGGTCACGGGGTGTGGAGGGGAACAGAACCGGTCACCACGCCACCTGGGGGTTGGCTTTGAACGCGTCGTAGTCGGATTTCTTGAAGAAGGCGAGTTCCGTCTCATTGGCTGAAAGAAAATTTATATATATTATTTTAATTATTGTTTTTAAAAAGGTCCTCATATACTAATATAATAAAATAATAATAATAACAATAATAATAATAATAAAATATAATTAGTATTATTATTTTGGTTTCTAAAATGTTGTATTATTATTACTACTATCAATCTTTTCCATAAAAAAAAAAAAATAATAATAATAACTACTACTACTACTACTACTACTACTACTACTACTACTACTACTACTACAATTACAGTTCCATTTTTGTTTTTCTTTTCAGGTGTGGGTGGTACTCAGTTACATTACAATCTTTTAATAAAGTATTAACGTTTTGAAATGGAAATGAGCAGAATGTAGCAGAACACTGCCACCTACTGGGTCAAATGGAAATTGCAACAACACAAAACTGCACCGTTCAAAGTGACGCTTGTTCTTAGTAATTTTCGTAATATAAGACGCATCAACTAAATAAAAAAAAATAAATAAAATTGTACATATATAGGCTGCACTTCCACGTCCACGTCTTCAAGAACGTTTTCAAATTCGGGCCGTTTACTTTTATCGCCTCTGAAAGCTTTTGTCATCTTTTTGCTTTGAGTCAGGCTCATGGACAATGTGCCAAACAAATAATCCACCCATTTAATCGCCGCATCGTTTTATTCGCCGGAAGTTTCAAAATGTGACAAAAAAGTAGCAGCTTACAGTCCGGAAATTACGGTAATTCAAACCCCAAAAAGTGACGAACAATAAATGAATAAAGGTGCATTGTGTAACTTTTCTGGCAGATGGTCCTTCAAATGTTTTTGTCCATGGAGATGTTATTGTTTTGTCTGGAATGTTTCACAGTATGGATTTAAACTTTTCTATCTTCATGGAGACTAAACCAGACCGAGTTACAGGTCAGATCTGTGGAGAGGCGAGCCCACTCACAGTCAGAATGTTGTTTTTCAAGGTACTTTTGAGCTGTAAAACCAACTGTAACTGAATAAATGGAAGGTAGAGCTGTTTAATGTCATGCTGTGAAATAGAGCCCTGCACTCCCAGAACTAAACCAGGTCTGAACCAGGTCTAAACAAGTCTAAAACCAGGACTAAAACAAGCCTACAACAGGATTTAGCCAGGACTTAACCATGTCGTCAGACCGCCCACCGCGCCCTCCACCCCTCCAACTCCCTCCGGTCTGCGAAATACTGTCTGATGTAAACCGATCCGTGGCGCAAAAAAGGTTGGGGACTAGGGATGGGCATGATTAGTCAATTAATCGATAATTGATCATTAAGAATTTTATCGATTACATTCATTTTAATCGACAAACCGAATGTAGGTTGTTGTGTGTAGTGTAGAGTGACCAAACGTCTGTGTCCAGGGACAAACAGGTGTGTACATGTGTCTCTGCATCAGAAGGAGCGAGACACAAACAGTGGGTCAGTCTGTAACGAACCGAAGCACAAATGTGGATTTAACCGATGATTTGTACAAGAAATTCCACACTTTCCGTTGCGTTGGGACAAGTGTGAGTCCATGTGCACAGTGGATAAAGCAGCACATATGTTTCTGTGTCCAGTGGGAAAAAGTTTTTCCAGGTGAGAGTCGCTCAATGTGGATGACGAGGCCCCGCCCCCCTCCCCCCGTACGCTGTCCTGGTTTTGACAAACACAAATCTGGTCACACTAACCTGTATTCATCTGAGTCATGTCTTTTAATCCGACAGAAGTTGAACCTCATCAGCGACACAAGAGCTGGAGTTTTTATCTTCACTTAGTTTATGCAAATTAGTGATGCGGTTTTAAGTTTTGTTTCTGTGAGAGTTGAACAAAACTGAATTAAACACATTATAATGTCAAACGGGCTGATGTGGCTCTAGAGTCGTTACGGTTTATATGTCGTAAAGTTGAATTTATTTATTCAGATTAGTAGTGCAGATAATAATAATAATGATGAATCATTTTAATATAAAAAACATTAATGACTGATAATCGATCCTTAATTCTCCCGACGATCGATTAAGAAAATTTTATCGAATGCCCATCCCTATTGGGGACCACTGACAATTCCTTTCCGCTTCTCCGTGTTTGATAGAGCGAACGTTGACATCCTGCGGGACTTGTAGGCGGGAGCGGGACAAGGAGCCAGACTGAAAATTATAATTCTTCGCAGGAGCGTGACTGAAAATTCTGTCCCGCGCAGACCCCTACTGCGGAACATTCCAGGCAGATCAATGACATCTCCATAGAAACAAGCAGATGACAGACCCTCCACCAAAAAAGTTACACAGTGCGCCTTCAAGATGTTTTTTTATCAGGTGAACTGTCTGAATACTCACTGACTCCAGCCTCTTGGAGCGTTTGGTTTTCCTGTAGAAGAGGTTTGTCCTGATCGTCTAAACTCATCACCAAGTCATTTGTCTGCAATGAAAAAGAATAATATATAAATATATAAAACGCTAACATAATATGACGTTTTTAATAAGATCCTTTTTATATTGAAGTACTGCACATTTTTCTCCCCGTGTATTTGAGCCACCAGAAAAGTTACTCAATTTAATTTAATTTAATTACTGTATTTTTCAGACTATAAGTGGCACTTTTTTTCATGGTTTGCGTGTTTCCTGTGACTTATTCTCTGGGTGCGACTTACATATTAAAATGTTTTTGGTGAAGTGTGGAGAGGTTCTAGTCTTGTGTGTGAGTATCTGCTGCTCCTGTTCCTCCTGTACCACTGTCACTTGGCTCTACTGCGCATGTCTCCTGCAGAAAGAGCCTCTGTCCTGTCTGTATCATGTCAGTCGATCGCACCGTTACTTCTGCACCACTGAACAATTTAACATTTAAACAAACTTATAAAGACGAAGACTGAGAAAACTGAACACAAACGCCCCCAAAAACAAAATCAGATTATGCAGATTACAAACTGCAAGTCGTGAAATCTGCAGCTGAAAATGAAAATCGAGCAGCAGAAAGAAAGTTTGGAGTGAGAGAGAAACTTGTGACACCGGGAGGATGAACCATGAAACTTTCCTGAAGTCACTGGATGGATGGACAAAACCTGGACTTCAGTGACACCGAAACCATCCTGTCGGGATTCAGAAAGACCCGAATAATTCTAACTGGAACTGACGCTGAGTCTGAAGTGACACCGAGGATGAAGAATTGAATGGATTTAGTGATTTGGAGTGAGATGGCGAGTTTGGTTAACTTGTTCTGTTCTGTTGTTTATAGGGCTGGGTATCATTAAGAAGTTGCCGATACGATACATACCTCGATACAGTGCACTTTCGATTCGATATGATATATTTCAAATCAATTCGATACGGTTCAATAAAAAATAAAGGCTAAATCGTGGCTGTGATACTAAAAGGCTTTATTAAATTACTTCTTGTGCAAAGTTCATATGAAACACAAACATTTTAATCCTCAAAACAGTAAAAATGTCAAATGTGTCGCATAAATGAGTTTCCTTTCACTCCACAAGCAACAAAACTGTAGCACTGTAACAAAATAATTTAGTAAAACACACGTAAAAACACTCTTGGTGATATATCGATACAGCAGCCCACGATATCGATACTGTATCATCACATTAAACGATAAGATATATCGATATTCCGATATTTTTGCACACCCCTAGTTGTTTATGTTATAGTTTATCTGAAGAAATGTTCATATGTGACGTTAACAGTCTGTTGTTTTTACTACAACTTGACTTTACACAGGAAATGTCAGTTCCTGGTCTCTCATTTTAAAATAAATTTCCTCAAAAAAGTGCGACTTATAGTCCGAATAATGTTAAGCTTCTGTCCTTACCTTAGCTCCATGTGCTTGATGGATAATTTTCATGGTGTCTGAAAAATAAAAATGTGGAGTTATTATGATTGACAGATTCAGGAGCAGGACCACGCCTCAGCCTCAGCCTCCTCCTCCAGCTCGACCACAGCTCAGCTTCAGTTACCCACAAGCCCTTTTTTTTTACGCAGCCTATCCTGACAACACCGTCTGTCTCCGCCCTCTCGACCCCCTCCCTCGCCTCCCGCGTCTCCCGTTCATCCTTCACCCCCGAAGCAGAGTCCTGCACCGGGTCGGGAATCCGCAAATAGTCGCTGAAACGGGCGGGTTTTAACGTTCTGGGTTTTTACGGGCGGGTAGTGATCACACACGGGCGGGTCAAATGAACGACGAACGAGAGAAAAATACTTGAAACGTGTCCAGGTCGTCTGTTGCCCTGGAAACAAGTGACGTTTTCTGGTCTTTTTCCGGAACGATGAACCAGACTGAGAGACTTTAGTGTTTTTGTTACATAAAACCATCGGCGGAGGAGATCAACTCGACGACTGTGAGCTGGTTTAGTCCAGGTCCAGTCCTGATGTAGACCTGATGTAGACCTGGTTCAGTCCTGGTTCGGTCCTGGTTCGGTCCTGGTTCGGTCCTGGTGTAGTCCTGGTTGTAGTCCTGGTGTAGTCCTGGTGTAGTCCTGATGTAATCCTGATGTAGACCTGGTCCAGTCCTGATGTAGTCCTGGTCCAGTCCTGATGTAGTCCCGGTTTAGATCTGGATTAGATCTGGATTAGACCTGATTTAGACCTGGTTTAGACCTGGTTTTAGAGTCCTGGTTTAGACCTGGTTTAGTCCTGGTTCGGTCCTGGTTTCCTGGTCCTGGTTCCTGGTCCTGGTCAGTCCTGATGTTAGTCCTGGTTGTAGTCCTGATGTAGTCCTGATATAGTCCTGATGTAGTCCTGATGTAGTCCTGGTCCAGTCCTGATGTAGTCCTGGTCCAGTCCTGATGTAGTCCTGGTCCAGTCCTGATGTAGTCCCGGTTTAGATCTGGATTAGATCTGGATTAGACCTGGTTTAGACCTGGTTCAGTCCTGGTTCAGTCCTGGTTCAGTCCTAGTCCTGGTTCAGTCCTGGTTTTTCCAGTCCTGGTTCAGTCCTGGTTCCAGTTTCAGTCCTGGTTTCAGTCCTGGTTCAGTCCTGGTTTCAGTCCTGGTGTAGTCCTGGTCCTGGTGTAGTCCTGGTTCAGTCCTGGTTTAGTCCTGGTTCAGTCCTGATTTAGTCCTGGTTCAGTCCTGATTTAGTCCTGGTTCAGTCCTGGTGATCGTCTCTGCAGTTGCGGTGTATATATTTATAATCCACTAATAACACAGCGTAGATTCAGTCCTGGTTTAGACCTGGTTTAGACCTGGTTTAGTCCTGGTTTAGTCCTTTAGTCCTGGTTTAGTCCTGGTTTAGTCCTGGATTATTGGGCTGTCGGACTAATGGGCTGATCCCGATTTATCACGGGCACGGGCGGGTGACGGGTCGAACGTTAACGGGTCTGGGCGGGTGCGGAATTGAAGGGTGTGGGTCTCCAAAAACTGGACCCGTGCAGGACGAGACGAAGACGAAGAGGGAATCTGCACTCGAAATTTAAATCACTCCTCTCGCCAAATTCTAACTTTCTCTCCACACGTTTATTTTATCTCATGACATTTAGTATTTGTGTTTAAAATGAAATAATCTTACCGTATTGATACTTTCTAAACGGAGGTGGAAGTCCTGGTTTGGTCTCGATTTCTACAACAAAAAGCACAAACACAACAAATCACACAATCGATAATCACAGCGTAGTCACGTTTCACCTCATCGTTTTTTTCCTCTTTCTTCTCGATTGCGACCGAACTTGCCTCATTTATCAAAACTGAACACAGATTTGTCTTTTGTCTCGTCTCTGAAAGTCTTGATTCACAAAGTTTTTAGGACTGGACGGGACCGACGAAGGACCACACGCTCCACGGGGCGAAGAGCAGCGGACGCCCGAGCACGACTTGTAGACATCCTGATCCACAGACTCAGGGTCTCTCAGGGGTTCTAGAGTCCAAGTTCTAGTCCAAGATTAGTTCTGGTTTAGAAATAGTTTAGTCCTCATTTAGTCTTCGATTCAGTTCTGGTTTAGACCTGGTTCAGTACTCGGTTTAGTCCTGGTTTAGGTCTAAACCAGGACTGGTTTAGTCCTGGTTCAGCTCTGGTTTAGTGCTGGTTTAGTCCCGGTTCAGTCCCGGTTTAGACCCGGTTCAGTCCTGGTTTAGACCTAGTTCAGCGCTGGTTTAGTCCCGGTTTAGACCTGGTTCAGTTCTGATTAAGCTCTGGTTTAGGTCTAAACCAGGACTGGTTTAGTCCTGGTTCAGCTCTGGTTTAGTGCTGGTTTAGTCCTGGTTTAATCATGGTTCAGTCCTGGTTTAGACCTGGATCAGTGCTGGTTTAGTCCTGGTTTAGTCCCGGTTTAGTCCTGGTTTAGTCCCGGTTTAGTCCTGGTTTAGTCCCGGTTTAGACCTGGTTCAGTTCTGATTAAGCTCTGGTTTAGGTCTAAACCATAACTGGTTTAGGTCTAAACCAGAACTGGTTTAGTCCTGGTTTAGACCTGGTTCAGTTCTGGTTCAGTTCTGGTTTAGTCCTAGCTTAGTCCTGGTTCAGTCCTAGTTTAGTCCTCCTGGTTTAGACCTAGTTTAGACCTGGTTCAGACCTTGTTCAGTTCTGGTTTAGTCCTGGTTCACTTGCCCAACACTGTTTACATATCAGGTCTACGTTGAGGCTGTTACCTTGGCGCACGCGCTCCGTGAACTCGCGCACGCTCTGCTCCAGGCGCACGCGCTGGAACACCACGGGCCGAAAGTTGCGGTACTCGAAGGAGCGCACGAGGCGGACCGTGAGCGTGACCCCGGGCCCCGCGCACGTGTCCCCGGGCTCCTCGCACATGTCCTCGCGCACAGGAGCGATCAGGAGCGGCACGAGGAGCGGAAAGACATGATCCACAGACACGAAGAGACGAGGCGTGTTTTGGTCCGGACTTCTTCTGACAGCGCCGTTTTATACGAGGAAAGAAGGGAGAGACACCTACTGGACTGGAGGAGTAAATACAACGGACTAAAACGGGATTAGATTAAAACCAGGGGTGTCAAACTCATGTTGGTCCGGGGGCCGTATCCAATCGACTTTGATCCCAAAGTGTCCGGATCAGAAAACTCATGTCATATAAACCCCAAAAATAACAATAAGTTCAAATATTTGTGCAGAGAAACACAAATCTATTACAGAAATCTTTTTTAATTGATGAACTCTTTCTTTTACAAAATATTATAATATTATGAACAACCTGAAACTTTAAGAAAAATACAATTTCAACACAATGTTTTAACATGAACTTGTATAAATGGGAATAAGTCAATTTTTGTTGTAAAATCCTGCACTCGGCTCCACTTTTCTCATGTTGGACATTTTTCTGATGAGGGTGTCACGGTCAACAGTCAAAACGATCGTCCTTTAAGAGCGTTTGGAAAGAGACAAGTCTTCATTTGTGCTGCTCTGGTGGGAGGGGCCACGTACAGAGACGCTGGAGACGCTGCTGTGATAAACACCACAGAAAATTAACAAGATTTTGATAGAAAATATAATTAAAATATTTTAGTAGGAAATCAGCCGAGGGCCAGATTAAAGGTCTTGGAGGGCCGGATCCAGCCCCTGGGCCGTATGTTTGACACCTGTGGATTAAAAGGTCGGGGGAAAAGAATAATTAAAATTTAAATATTTTGTACATATATATTTTAAAAATCTAACTGATACATTTTAAGATGCTGACCAAAAGAGTTTATTTTCTACTAAAATATTTTATCACTTATATCACTTTATGTGTATTATTATTATTATTTTTATTTTTTTATTAATTTATTTATTTTTTAATTATCTATGTACTATTATTTTTCTTTCCAGTGGGGGAGGGTAATTGAAGAGCAAAATGGTCACATTACATTACTGCTAATTATTTTTTTTATTTCTGTAACATCTGCCTTACTTGCACAAAAAAGCAATTTAAAAAAAAAAATACAAAAAATTTTGACTGTAAACTACGTTGTGATCTATTTTGTCGGCTCTGTCTAATTCAAATAAAAATCATTGAGTTTCTTATATTTTCTATCATTTTATTACAAATACTAAACTACACCGAAAGTCACAGTGAGGCATTTGTAATAAAAGTTCATTAATTCCAACATTTTATTTCTGCTCTGATCTGAGGCAGTGATCGGTAAATGAAGAATAAAAACGTATCTCACGTTTAATATTTGATGTATTTGACAGGAAACATCTGTAGTGTCCTTTTATAGTGACAAAGACCCATTTTAATCTCAAGGCTTTACCAGTAACAATAATAATCATGTGAATATTGTTTTTTTTTATGTATTTTTATTTTACGTTTATAAGAAAAAGGCAAACAGAGCTGTAGAAGAAGTGAGAGGCAGAATATTTGCTGAGCTCTTGAGGTTTTTTTTCATTCCTTAAACAGGATAAAGGCACGAGATGCACGATTATAAACCAATAATTTAAAAATTACATTAAAAACTGCAGTCAGGAGCTAAAATTCGACATTTCCTTGGCAATATGTGATAAAACGATGAGTCCTACACGTCTCCAAACACATCCCCGTTGTCCTGTGTCTGTTTGGGCCTGTGCCGCTCGCTCTCCCAGCCCCTCCGGATCCTCTCCAGTCGGACCGAACAGCACGGCAGGAGCAGGAGGCAGCGGCCGATCAGCACGCAGCACGGCAGGAGCAGGGAGAGCAGGAACACGGGCGGCAGGTAGTACTGGTACGCCCACGGGTGCAGCGCGAAGTCCCACCCAAAGAAGAGGACGTGTGCGACGGAGAGGACCAGAGAGGTGTAGCCCAGACCCGACTGGAGACACAGAGCGGAGAGGAAAAACAAGATTATAAACTGTTTAAAATTAAAAATCGATATCAGTCTGTATCTGTATCATTCGTTCATTTGTTTTTCAAAATAAAACAAAAAATAAGAAAACGAAAACACAACTATTTTCTCCGTTATTTGTCTCCAAAACCAAAACCAGAAAACTGAAAAAAAAAAATAAAAAATTATTATCATCACTTTTTTCAGTTTTCGATTTTGTGTTTAAATGAATAATGGAAAAAAAAAAAAAAAAGCTGAGATGTCGGACTTTTGCGCCGCATACGGACTGAACCAGTCCAGTCTCAGTCCTGATTACCCGACAATCTACGTGGGCGTAACTCCGGACCCGTCCCGACACTCCTGGTTCAGTCCTGGTTCAGTCCTGGTTCAGTCCTGGTTCAGTCCTGGTTTAGTCCTGGTTTAGTCCTGGTTTACTGGTTCCTGGTTTAGTCTGGTTTAGACCTGGTTTAGGCTGGTTTAGTCCTGGTTTAGTCTGGTTTAGTCCTGGTTTTGGTTTAGTCCTGGTTTAGTTCTGGTTTAGACCTGGTTTAGGCTGGTTTAGTCCTGGTTTAGTCTGGTTTAGTCCTGGTTTAGCCTGGTTTAGGCCTGGTTTAGTCCTGGTTTAGTTCTGGTTTAGACCTGGTTTAGTCCTGGTTTAGTCCTGGTTTAGTTCTGGTTTTAGACCTGGTTTAAGGCCTGGTTTAGTCCTGGTTTAGTCCTTTTAGTTCTGGTTTAGACCTGGTTTAGGCCTGGTTTAGTCTGGTTTAGTCCTGGTTTAGTGCTGGTTTAGTCCTGGTTTAGTCTGGTTTAGTTTAGGCCTGGTTCAGTCCCAGTTTAATCCTGCTTTGTCCTGGTTTAGGCCTGGTTTAGTCCTGGTTTACTGGTTTAGTCCTGGTTTAGGCCTGGTTTAGTCCTGGTTTAGACCTGGTTTAGTCCTGGTTTAGACCTGGTTTAGGCCTGGTTCAGTCCTGGTTTAGTGCTGGTTTAGACCTGGTTTCCTGGTTTAGTCCTGGTTTAGTCCTGGTTTAGTCCTGGTTTAGACCTGGTTCAGTCCCAGTTTAATCCTGCTTTAGTCCTGGTTTAGGCCTGGTTTAGTCCTGGTTTAGACCTGGTTTAGTCCTGGTTTAGGCCTGGTTCAGTCCTGGTTTAGACCTGGTTCAGTCCTGGTTTAGACCTGGTTTAGACCTGGTTTTAGGCCTGGTTAGTCCTTTTAGACCTGGTTTAGTCCTGGTTTAGACCTGGTTTAGTCCTGGTTTAGACCTGGTTTAGGCCTGGTTTAGTCCTGGTTTAGACCTGGTTAGTCCTGGTTTAGTCCTGGTTTCTGGTTCAGTCCTGGTTTAGACCTGGTTTCTGGTTTAGACCTGGTTCAGTCCCGGTTTAATCCTGCTTGATCATTTAAGTTTGTTTTTGTTATTTCCTACGAGGACCACTCAATTATACATTGAATAATAATGTGTTTAAAGCAGATTTGAGCAACATTTTTTTTTACGTTTTACAAATGTCCGTTAAACTTCTGATGCCCTTTAACCCATTGACGCCGGATGCTGCGCAGCGCAGCACTGAGTCTCCTGTCGGTGTCCGGATTGTCTGGCGATCAGTGTAACACAAAGATGTCGTCCGTGTCTTCACTGTCATTGTCACTGTCAGCATTTTTGTGTTTGACCATGTTTATCTGTTACATGACATAGCGACATGGCACCTGTTATAGGAGCGTCTGGAACAGCGAACAGATCAAGTGGTTGAGTGCGTTCATGTGCTGCAGTAAAGAGCAACGTTTGTTACTTCAAACCAGGTCTTGATGGGAAAATATGCGGGAAACATTTGGATTATTTTTCAATGGGGAAATAATACGCCACGATAAAAAAGGTTTAACGTGACAATACAGCTCCGGCAGTTTTGCGTCTCTATGGGAGTGAATGGAAGCGAGAGGAGGACACGCCCCCCCCATGCTTCCAGGTGTGGCCCCGTCTTTACCAGTTACGCTGATCGCCAGACAATCCGGACACCGACAGGAGACTCAGCGCTGCGCTGCATCCGGCGTCAAGTGGGTTAAGAGCTGTTTCTTGTCTGACCTGTACAAAAGTGAACTCCCTCCAGTTCAGCGCGTGTCCCACAGAGGGCAGCGAGGTCAGGGCCAACACACACAGAACTCCAAGTCCCAGAATTCCACTGGAGAGGTACAAGTCCGACCTCCAGACCTGCGTCTCCACCCACGAGTTTTCTACACCTGCCTTTACCTGAGAAAAAACAAACAAACAACAACAAACAAGCAAAGAACAAAAGCACAAGAATGTATTAAAATGCACTGCAGATTTATTTTGATTATTAAAAATTAAATGTACAACAACTCACCCCTATGTAACAGATAATACTCCCTACAACGGTACAACAACTCACCCGTGTTATCCTAATGAAAGTCCAAAATATCCAAAATGTACTATTAATGGCAAAAACATGTCATGGAAAAATCTGACATTTGGCAAAGTGACTCTTCCGGTGACTCCATTCAAAAAAGTTTTCCTGTTGTATTTTCATGTTGTATTTTCTTGTTGTATTTTCATGTTGTATTTTTATTGTATTTTCTTGTCGGAATTTTCTGGGGGGTTTTTTTGTGTGTGTGTATTTTCTTGTTGTATTTTTTTGGTGTATTTCCACGTTGTATTTTTTTATTGTATTTTCTTGTTGTATTTTCCTGTTGTATTTTCACGTTGTATTTTTATGTTGTATTTTCTTGTTTTTTTGTTGTTGTTTTTTTTATTTTGTTGTTGCATTTTTTTGTTGGAATTTTCTGTTGTATTTTTTTTATTGTATTTTCTTGTTGTATTTTCACATTGTATTTTCTTGTTGTATTTTTTATTGTATTTTCTTGTTGTATTTAACTGTTGTTGTTTTTTTTTTTGTATTTTCTTGTTGTATTTTCTTGTTGTATTTTCATGTTGTATTTTTATTGTATTTTCTTGTCGGAATTTTCTGTTGTTTTTTTTGTGTGTGTGTATTTTCTTGTTGTATTTTTTTGGTGTATTTCCACGTTGTATTTTTTTATTGTATTTTCTTGTTGTATTTTCCTGTTGTATTTTCTTGTTGTATTTTCCTGTTGTATTTCCTGTTGTATTTTCTTGTTGTATTTTCCTGTTGTATTTTCCTGTTGTATTTTTCTTGTTGTATTTTCACGTATTTTTCTTGTTGTATTTTTTAATTGTATTTTTCTTGTTATATTTTCATGTTGTATTTTCATGTTGTATTTTTCTTGTTGTTTTCTTGTTTTGTATTTTCATGTTTGTATTTTTTTTTTTTTTGTATTTTCATGTTGTATTTTTTTTTGTATTTTCTTTTTATATTTTCATGTTGTATTTTCATGTATTTTCTTGTTGTATTTTCCTGTTGTATTTTCTTGTTGTATTTTCCTGTTGGGTTTTTTGTTGTTGTTGTATTTTCATGTTGTATTTTCTTGTTATATTTTCATGTTGTATTTTCATGTTATATTTTCTTGTTGTATTTTTTTATTGTATTTTCATTTGTATTTTCTTGTTGTATTTTCTTGTTGTATTTTCCTGTTGTATTTTCTTGTTGTATTTTTCCTGTTGTATTTTTTTGTTGTATTTTCCTGTTGTATTTTCTTGTTGTATTTTCTGTTGTATTTTCTTGTTGTATTTTCTGTTGTATTTTCTTGTTGTATTTTCCTGTTGTATTTTCTTGTTGTATTTTCCTGTTGTATTTTCTTGTTGTATTTTCCTGTTGTATTTTCTTGTTGTATTTTCCTGTTGTAGTTTCCTGTTGTATTTTCTTGTTGTATTTCGCCGTTGTATTTTGCCGTTTACCTGTCGATACTGTCGATACGCCGCGTTGAGGATCATGTAGCCCGAGGCCCTGCGGATGGACAGACACACGCTGTAGACGGCGTGGAGGGCGGCGCACAGGAAGCTCAGGAGCCCCAGCTGTTTCCGGGCGCACATCCACCGGTCCAGCCAATCGGGGAAGCGCTTGTATTTAGTGCCTCTGTAGAGCTGCAGCACAGACGCCAACAGACCTGAGGACGTACAGACACGCTGAGGTCAAATGGTCAGGTGGGTCAGGTCAGGTGGGCGTGGTCAGGTCAGGTGGGCGTGGTCACAGCGACTTCTCCCAAAAAAATGACAAATATAAAATAGGTACAACTTAAATGTCAAACCGGAGCGACTTACAACGGTGAAAACAAACTGCATAAACTCATGAAATCTGCAGGACTGTCCTATAGACCCCTGAAACATGAGGGACCAGGACTGAACCAGGACTAAACCAGGACTAAACCAGGACTAAACCAGGACTAAACCAAACCTATACGAGGACTGAGTGTCGGGTTGGGCCGTCGCCCGATCTCGCTTTGCGGACATCCTACTCTGCGGGCTCAGGGTTCTCTCTCTCACTCTCAAGTCCAAGATTAGTCCTGGTTTAGTCCTAGTTTAGACCTGGTTCAGTCCTGGTTCAGTCGTGATTTAGACCTGGTTTAGACCCAACTTAGCCCTGGTTTAGTCCTGGTTTAGACCTGGTTCAGTCCTGGTATAGTTATAATTTAGACCTTGTTTAGCCCTGGTTTAGACCTGGTTCAGTCCTGTTCCAGTCCTGGTTTAGTCCTGGTTTAGACCTAGTTTAGTCCTGGTTCAGTCCTCGTTTACACCTGGTTTAGTCCTGGTTCAGTCCTGGTTTAGTCCTGGTTTAGACCTGGTTTAATCTGGGTTCAGTCCTGGTTCAGTCCTGGTTTAGTCATTGTTTAATCCTTGTTTGGACCTGGTTTAGCCTTGGTTTAATCTTGATTCAGTCTTGATTCAGTCCTGGTTTAGTCCTTGTTTAGACCTGGTTTAGTCCTGGTTCAGTCCTGGATGAGTCCTGGTTCAGTCCTGGTTCAGACCTGGTTTAGTCCTGTTTTAGTCCTGGTTCAGTCCTGGTTCAGTCCTGATTTAGTCCTGGTTTAATCCTGGTTTAGTCCTGGTTTAGTCCTGTTTTAGTCCTGGTTCAGTCCTGGTTTAGTCCTTTTTTTAGACCTGTTTTAGTCCTGGTTCAGTCCTGGTTTAGTCCTTGTTTAGACCTGTTTTAGTCCTGGTTTAATCCTGGTTCAGACCTGGTTTAGTCCTGTTTTAGTCCTGATTCAGTCCTGGTTTAGTCCTGTTTTAGTCCTGGTTTAGTCCTTGTTTAGACCTGGTTTAGTCCTGGTTTAGTCCTTGTTTAGACCTGGTTTAGTCCTGGTTTAGTCCTGGTTTTAGTCCTGGTTTAGTCCTGTTTGGTTCCAGTCCTGGTTCAGACCTGATTTAGTCCTGGTTTAGACCTGGTTTAGTCCTGTTTTAGTCCTGGTTCAGTCCTGATTTAGTCCTTTTTTAGACCTGTGGTTTAGTCCCTGATTCAGTCCTGGTTTAGACCTGGTTTAGACCTGGTTTAGTCCTGGTTTTAGTCCTGGTTCAGTCCTGGAGTTTAGTCCTTTTTGGTTTAGACCTGGTTGGTTTAGTTCCTGGTTTAGTCCTGGTTTACTGGTTTAGACCTGGTTTAGACCTGGTTTAGTCCTGGTTCAGTCCTGGTTCCTGATTCTCATGGACTGACTCTCATCCCTGTCGTCTCGTCTCATCCTTGTGTAAATAAAGTCTTTACCGTTTGGTTTTTCCGTTTGGTCAGACTGTCNTTAGACCTGGTTTAGTCCTGGTTTAGTCCTGGTTCAGTCCTGATTTAGTCCTTTTTTAGACCTGTTTTAGTCCTGTTTTAGTCCTGGTTCAGTCCTGATTTAGTCCTTTTTTAGACCTGTTTTAGTCCTGATTCAGTCCTGGTTTAGACCTGGTTTAGTCCTGGTTTAGTCCTTTTTTAGACCTGTTTTAGTCCTGGTTCAGTCCTGGATGAGTCCTGGTTCAGACCTGGTTTAGTCCTGGTTTAGACCTGGTTTAGACCTGGTTTAGACCTGGTTTAGTCCTGGTTTAGACCTGGTTTAGACCTGGTTTAGTCCTGGTTCAGACCTGGTTCAGACCTGGTTTAGTCCTGGTTTAGTCCTGGTTTAGTCCTGGTTCAGTCCTGGATGAGTCCTGGTTCAGACCTGGTTTAGTCCTGGTTTAGTCCTGGTTCAGTCCTGGATGAGTCCTGGTTCAGACCTGGTTTAGTCCTGGTTTAGATCTGGTTTAGACCTGGTTTAGACCTGGTTTAGTCCTGGTTTAGACCTGGTTTAGTCCTGGTTCAGACCTGGTTTAGTCCTGGTTTAGTCCTGGTTCAGTCCTGGTTCAGACCTGGTTTAGTCCTGGTTCAGTCCTGGTTCAGTCCTGGTTCAGACCTGGTTTAGTCCTGGTTCAGTCCTGGTTCAGACCTGTTTTAGTCCTGGTTTAGTCCTGGTTTAGTCCTGGTTCAGACCTGGTTTAGTCCCGGTTTAGTCCTGGTTCAGACCTGGTTTAGTCCCGGTTTAGTCCTGGTTTAGACCTGGTTCAGACCTGGTTTGTCCCGGTTTAGTCCTGGTTCAGACCTGGTTTAGTCCCGGTTTAGTCCTGGTTTAGACCTGGTTCAGACCTGGTTTAGACCTGGTTTAGACCTGGTTTAGTCCTGGTTCAGTCCTGGTTTAGACCTGGTTTAGACCTGGTTTAGTCCTGGTTTAGTCCTGGTTTAGACCTGGTTTAGACCTGGTTTAGTCCTGGTTCAGTCCTGGTTCCTGATTCTCATGGACTGAATCTCATCCCTGTCGTCTCGTCTCATCCTTGTGTAAATAAAGTCTTTACCGTTTGGTTTTTCCGTTTGGTCAGACTGTCTCATCTTTAACAAACCGTCTCCTTCCATTATCACGTCCGTTGAGTTCGTTACCTGGCAGATAAACCAGCGCCAGCGTCACCAGGGCCACGGCGGGCAGGGCCTGGTTCACCGTGACCAGGGGCAGGTGGTACAGGTTGTTCTCCCCGCGGTCCAGGTAGGGCATCAGGACGTTTTTGAGGGCGGTGTAGAGGTAGAAGAAGGTGAAGAGGGTCGCGGCGGCGAGCAGAGGACCTCTCCAGGACGGGAACAGGAGCAGCGGCGCCTCCTCCAGGGCCCCGGACGCGCACAGACCCCCCGCGTCCACCGCCCTGAAGCCCAACCTCTGAGCCAGAACCAGGACCGAGAGTTTAGAGGAGGGACAGTCTCCACACACCAGCACCTGGGAATTTATTTATACATTTAGTCAGTTAAAGGTGATTTTTTTAAAGCTCAAAAATACCTTGAAAAACAGAAAAATCTATTCTGACTGTGACTGTGAGTGCGGTCGCCTCTCCACAGATCTGACCTGTAACTTAGTTTAGATTTAGATGAAAGGTTTAATACCAGACTGTCAGTGTTGGGAAGTTGACTTTTAAAATGTAATCCCCTACAGATTACAGATTACACACCCCAAAATGTAGTTTGTAACAGAATCCATTAAATTACTTAAAGTGAGTAATGTAATCTGAATACTTTGGATTACTTGATTTGCTGTAGAGAAGCAACGATGAGAAAATCTTCACATAAGATGTTTTGTCTGATAAAAGAAAATAAAAAGTCCAGACTTTACAGAACCAAATTAAAAATATTATTGATAGAAAACGAGACACGTCTGCGCAGTATGATTTACTCCTGTTAAATCCTGTTTTAGTCCTGTTTTAGACCTGGTTTAGACCTGGTTTAGATCTAGTTTAGACCTGGTTTAGACCTGGTTTAGATCTAGATTAGATCTAGTTTAGACCTGGTTTAGATCTAGATTAGATCTAGTTTAGACCTGGTTTTAGTCCTGGTTTAGACCTGGTTTAGATCTAGATTAGATCTAGTTTAGACCTGGTTTTAGTCCTGGTTTAGACCTGGTTTAGATCTAGTTTAGACCTGGTTTAGATCTAGTTTAGACCTGGTTTTAGTCCTGGTTTAGACCTGGTTTAGATCTAGATTAGATCTAGTTTAGACCTGGTTTAGACCTGGTTTAGATCTAGATTAGATCTAGTTTAGACCTGGTTTAGATCTAGTTTAGACCTGGTTTTAGTCCTGGTTTAGACCTGGTTTAGATCTAGATTAGATCTAGTTTAGACCTGGTTTAGACCTGGTTTAGACCTGGTTTAGACCTGGTTTAGATCTAGTTTAGACCTAGTTTAGACCTGGTTTAGACCTGGTTTAGACCTGGTTTAGATCTAGTTTAGATCTAGTTTAGACCTGGTTTAGACCTGGTTTAGACCTGGTTTAGACCTGGTTTAGACCTGGTTTAGATCTAGTTTAGATCTAGTTTAGACCTGGTTTTAGTCCTGGTTTTAGACCTGGTTTAGACCTGGTTTAGTCCTGGTTTAGACCTGGTTTAGACCTGGTTTAGTCCTGGTTTAGACCTTGTTTAGACCTGGTTTAGACCTGGTTTAGATCTAGTTTAGTTTCCGGCAATGAGTGGAATTACCGGGAAAAAAAAGGAAAAAAAAAAAAAAAAAAAAGAAAAAAAAAAAAGGAGATTTAGCCCAAAATGTGATAACAGGAAAATACGAACGTGTAAAAAAAAAAAAAAGCTATTCATTTCAGTAAAGTAACTGTAATCCAATTACCACTCACTGAAACAGTAACTGTAAATGTATTCAGTTACTCATAATTTGTACTCTGATTACTCCAGTACATGTGATCTGTTACTCCCCAACACTGGAAACTTGGTTACTTGGTTACGAGAAAAACAGGAAAATCTATTCTGACTGTGAGCGGGGTCGCCTCTCCACAGATCTGACCTGTAATTTAGTTTAGATTTAGATGGAAAGGTTTAATACCAGACTGTGAAACATTCCAGACAAACGAGAACACCGTCATGGAGAAAATCACGCTTTTGTTTGAAAACCAGGACTAAACCAGGACTAAAACATGGTCTTAACCAGGACTAAACCAGGACTAAAACATGGTCTTAACCAGGACTAAAACAGGACTAAAACCAGGATTAAAACAGGACTAAAACAGGTCTAAAATCAGGACTAAACCAGGACTAAAACATGGTCTAAGACAGGACTAAAACAGGACTAAAACCAGGACTAAACCAGGACTAAAACATGGTCTAAGACAGGACTAAAACAGGGTCTAAAGCAGGACTAAACCAGGACTAAAACATGGTCTTAACCAGGACTAAAACAGGTCTAAAACCAGGACTAAAACATGGTCTTAACCAGGACTAAAACAGGTCTAAAACCAGGACTAAAACAGGACTAAAACAGGTCTAAAACCAGGACTAAAACAGGGTCTAAAGCAGGACTAAGACAGGACTAAAACAGAATCTTAAAGGAGATCTAAGACAGGACTAAAAGAGGACTAAACCAGGTCTAAAACCAGGACTAAAACAGGATTAAAACAGGATTTATCCAGGACTCGCTCCTTGTCCCATAAATAAATTCAGCTTTAAAATCGGAATAAACCACCCACCCACTTCAGAATTAAGTTTAATTCCAAATAATCATCATTCTGAAGTGTTTACACGGTCTTTTTAAAGCGGAATTAATTTTTATTCAGGACTAAATTATTTTTAGTCGGAATTAAAGCTCTTAAACGTAAACGTGGCGACTGAAAACAATTCTGTAAAAATGTGTTATTTAATGAATAAGTGTGAAGTGAATCGCACAGTTTAGTCATGAAAACAATTATATCAAAATCTCGTCTTATCTCGTTTTCATGGACCGAATGTTGTGACCCACGGACTCGCCCGTGTTCTGTTGCGTGTGAGCGTCACCTGTCGGCTGTGGTCGTGCGCTCCGGTCAGCAGGGTCCAGGCGGAGAGTCCGTTAAAGCCTTTGACCACGGAGGAGCAGGGGAACATCCGGGCCAGCCTCTGTGCGTTGGACTCTCCCCCCCGCTTCAGACCCGAGGCGTTACTCACGTCAACCAGAGTCCTCCCCGCCAGCAGGGGGCGCAGAGCCAGCAGGGAGGGGTAGTGCTCCGGGTACAGCGCCAGGAACACCAGGGACCCGCCGGCCTCTGCCAGGGCTGGACACACGCCGAGAGCAGGAGGAGGTCAAGACTCGGGTACAAGTGTTTACACGAGTCATTTTAGATCAAATTTGACTTGGGACTAAGACAGGACTAAAACAGGACTAAAACAGGACTAAAACAGGACTAAAACAGGACTAAAACAGGACTAAAACAGGACTAAGACAGGACTAAACAGGACTAAGACAGGACTAAAACAGGACTAAAACAGGTCTAAAACAGGACTAAGACAGGACTAAAACAGGACTAAAACAGGACTAAAACAGGTCTAAAACAGGACTAAGACAGGACTAAACAGGACTAAAAGGACAGGACTAAAAAACCAGGACTAAAACAGGGTAAAACAGGACAGGACTAAAACAGGACTAAAACAGGACTAAAACAGGACTAAAACAGGGTCTAAAACAGGACTAAAACAGGACTAAAACAGGACTAAAACAGGACTCTAAAACAGGACTAAAACAGGACCAGGACTAAAACAGGACTAAAACAGGGTCTAAAACAGGACTAAAACAGGACTAAAACAGGACTAAAACAGGACTAAACAGGACTAAAACAGGACTAAAACAGGACTTAAAACAGGTCTAAAAACAGGACAAACAAAACAGGACTAAAACAGGACTAAAACAGGACTAAAAACAGGACTAAAACAGGACTAAAACAGGACTAAAACAGGACTAAAACAGGACTAAAACAGGACTAAAACCAGGACTAAAACAGGACTAAAACAGGGTCTAAAACAGGGTCTAAAGCAGGTCTAAGACAGGACTAAAACAGGGTCTAAAGCAGGTCTAAGACAGGTCTAAAACCAGGACTAAAACAGGTCTAAGACAGGGTCTAAACCAGGGTCTAAAACAGGTCTAAAACAGGACTAAAACCAGGACTAAACCAGGACTAAAACAGGGTCTAAACCAGGGTCTAAACCAGGTCTAAAGACAGGATCTAAAACCAGGACTAAAACAGGACTAAATCCAGGACTAAACAGGGTCTAAAGCAGGTCAAAGACAAGACTAAAACTGGACTAAAACAGGTCTAAAACCAGGACTAAAACAGGACTAAAACAGGACTAAAACCAGGACTAAAACCAGGACTAAAACAGGACTAAAACAGGACTAAAACCAGGACTAAAACCAGGACTAAAACAGGACTAAAACAAGACTAAAACCAGGACTAAAAAAGGGTCTAAAACAGAGTCTAAAATAGGATCTAAAACAGGTCATAAAAGTCATAAAAAAATTATATCAAAATCTCGTCTTATCTCGTTTTCATGGACCCTGTCGACAAAAAATTTGGGGGCCTGGGACAACAGACCCTTTTGATAATGAAATAAATACAAAAATTCCAATACTGTGCTGAAACTTATGAACCAAACCGTGAAAATTGTGACTCTGTATTTAAATATTCCAGCTCTGACCCTCCAGCGCTGCCCTCTGCGTCTTCAGCTCCGTCCCTTCAGGAAACAGACCGGGGGCGAGTCTCTGCGGGTCCCTGCTGCCCACCAGGACTCTGCAGCCACAGCCCCGGAGCCGAGACGACAGGGACCTGGAGAAGTCCCCGGAGCCCAGGACGCACACGGCCGGGTCCCCCACGCTCAGCGCCACGGACTCCACCAGGTCCCCCGAGTCCAGCAGAGGAGCGGACATGTCGGACTGCGCCATGGTCACCTGAGAGGACGGGGAAGACGGAAAGAAAAGATCACTCGTCATTTCAAGTTTTTTCCTTTTTTTGTCAAATGTAGTTTTCACTGAGAGCAGTTTATTCTAACTAAACAAACTTTGAACAAAATGTCTGTTTGTTTAACCTGAAAGCAGAATGAGCCTCCAAGACCCCGGAGGGTCGAGACCAAGACAAGACCAAGACTGAGACCACGGCCCATCGAGACCAAATCAAGTTCATCTTTGTAGTTTTTGACATTTATTTGTATTTTATAGTTACTTTGGCACAGATGTATTAATGTTTTTATAAATCTGTCTCCAGTTTATCACTTGTCGTTGTCAGACCTCAAGACCGAGACAAGACTGAGTCCAAGCGCCTTCAAGACCGAGACAAGACTGAGACCAAACGTCTTCGAGACCGAGACAAGACGAGTCCAAGCGCCTTCAAGACCGAGACAAGACCGAGTCCAAACGCCTTCAAGACCGAGACAAGACCGAGTCCAAGCGCCTTCAAGAGACCGAGACAAGACCGAGTCCAAACGCCTTCAAGACCGAGACAAGACCGAGTCCAAGCGCCTTCAAGACCGAGACAAGACCGAGTCCAAGCGCCTTCAAGACCGAGACAAGACCGAGTCCAAGCGCCTTCAAGACCGAGACAAGACCGAGTCCAAGCGCCTTCAAGACCGAGACAAGACCGAGTCCACCGAGTCCAAGCCTTCAAGACCGAGACAAGACCGAGTCCAAGCGCCTTCAAGACCGAGACAAGACCGAGTCCAAGCGCCTTCAAAACCGAGACAAGACCGAGTCCAAGCGCCTTCAAGACCGAGACAAGACCGAGTCCAAATGCCTTCAAAACCAGGACTAAAGCAGGACTAAAACCAGGACTAAACCAGGACTAAAGCAGGACTAAAACCAGGTCTAAACCAAGTCTAAACTAGGTCTAAACCAGGACTAAAGCAGGACTAAACCAGGTCTAAACCAGATTTAAAACTGGATTTAACAGGACTAAATCCTGCTGCGTGGACCATGTCTCCTCCTCTTCTATCAATAATACTTTTAATCTGGTTAAGTTTATTTTCTTTTAGCAGATAAAACTTCTTATGTGATGATTTCCTCGTCTTTGTTTCTCTACAGCAAATCAAGTAATCCAAAGTATTCAGATTACATTACTCACTTTAAGTAATTTAATGGATTCTGTTACAAACTACATTTTGGTGTATGTAATCTGTAATCTGTAGGGGATTACATTTTAAAAGTCACCTTCCCAACACTGGCTTTAGTTCGGTAAACTTGGGCCATTCCAGAGCTAAAATTCTCCAAATTATTCCAGTGAAGGTGGGTGGAGTTTAAAAACACAGTGGAGCACTTCCTGTCATCACATGAACAGTGTTTTCTGTGTGAGAAACGTGAGAATGAAACAAAACACAACTCGAGGTACATTTTTGTGATGAGGAAGCAACATTATAACATAGAATAAGACCTTTAAAATGTGGTTAAAGACGCAGTTTTTATCCAGACACGCTCGCATTTACGCACGTTTTTTTACGCTGTTTGACGTGTTGCATCCCTAAAAATACATCCCATAAAAACACGCATACTCACGGAGAACTAAAACGTGCGGACTGTGCCTCGAACATGGCGCAAAAACGTAGAAAAAGCGCCGAAAAGTGCGGACATGTGCGCGTTGTTTTGGTCCGTGCAGAAAGAACACGCAGGGAACAAAGTCACGTGACCCGGAGGACCCTTTTCCTGCCGCTGCGTTCAAGGACGGAACAAAACTAGGAAATCGCAACACCGTATAGTTTAAACGCATATAAACACCGATATTTTAAAGATAATTTGGAGTTTTATGAAGCGATTTGTCGTGTTAAATGCAATAAATGTTCTAAATATAAGTTTGGATATTTTAAAATGCATGTCGTAATGAGGCATTGTAAGCTACGTCAAATTTTCGATTTTTCCGAGTTTATTTAAACGTAAATTTGAGTTCTTGGCATAAACACGAGAAATAAATATATATTAATAATTTATATACGTTAATAAAAAAATGTATTATTAAATGTAAGACTTGTAATAATAATAATAATAATATGCGAACAAAAGTGAAGTTACAGAGTAGTTTTTAATGTTCCGAGCAGCTCGTGAACGCCCCACGGCTGACAACAGGAGATAAACAACAGTTTGTGTGATAAAGACACAAGCTTTTGTTTTTGTGGTTTAAACAGTGTTGGGAAGGTGACTTTTAAAATGTAATCCCCTACAGATTACAGATTACATACACCAAAATGTAGTTTGTAACGTAATCCATTAAATTACTTACAGTGAGTAATGTAATCTGATTACTTTGGATTACTTGATTTGCTGTAGAGAAACAAAGACGAGGAAATCTTCACATAAGATGTTTTGTTTGATAAAAGAAAATAAAAAGTCCAAACTTTACTGAACCAAATTAAAAATATTATTGATAGAAAACGAAGAAACACGTCCACACAGCAGGATTTAGTCCTGTTTTAGTCCTGTTTTAGTCCTGGTTTAGTCCTGTTTTAGTCCTGTTTTAGTCCTGGTTTAGTCCTGGTTTAGTCCTGGTTTAGCCCAAAATGTGAAAACAGGAAAATCCCTCTGTGTAAACCATTTATTTCAACAAAGTAACTGTAATCCAATTCCCACTCACTGAAACAGTAACTGTAACTGAATACAGTTACTCATCATTTGTACTCTGATTACATAACTCCGGTACATGTAATCTGTTACTACATATCCCTTTTTTTTTTTTTTTTTTTTGGACACTAAAACAGGACAAAACCAGGTCCAAACCAGAACTAAAACCACGACTAAGACCAAGACTAAACCAGGACTAAAACAGGATTTAACAGGACTAAACCAGGACTAAACTAGAACTAAAACCAGGACTAAAACAGGACTAAAACAGGACTAAACCAGGACAAAACCAGGAATAAAACCAGGACTAAAACCAGGACTAAAACAGGACTAAACCAGAACTAAAACCAAGACTAAGACCAGGACTAAACCAGGACTAAAACAGGATTTAACAGGACTAAACTAGAACTAAAACCAGGACTAAAACAGGACTAAACCAGGACAAAACCAGGAATAAAACCAGGACTAAACCAGGACTAAAACAGAACTAAACCAGGACTAAACCAGGACTAAAACCAAGACTAAAACAGGTCTAAACCAGGACTAAAACAGGACTAAAACCAGGACTAAAACCAGGTCTAAACCAGGTCTAAAACCAGGACTAAAACAGAACTAAACCAGGACTAAAACAGGATTTAACAGAACTAAATCCTGCTGTGTGGACCGTGTTTCCTCATCTTCTATCAATAATATTTTTTAATTTGATTCAGTAAAGTCTGGGTCCAAAGTCTAATCCAAAGTAATTCAGATTACATTACTCACTTTAAGTACTTTAATGGATTATGTTACAAACTACATTTTGGTGTGTGTAATCTGTAATCTGTAGGGGATTACATTTTAAAAGTCAACACTGATGATTTATTTCATGTTCAAGGTTTATTTTATTCATTTTTTGTTTCATACGTTGCAAAACTGCTCACATTTTTTGCCAATATTTATTTTTTATTTGAAAGTTTTGCATAAATTATCAATAACAGTATTTTTTTGAGAGAGAGAAATGCTGAATAAAAGCAGCGTGTAATTAAAAAAATAATCCTTTGAATAATCGTGTTGACCAGAATAATTTTGATCACGATTTTTTTCAATAATCGAGCAGCTCTAATGTTTATTAAGAAGAGGAAAAGCGAGAGACATGAACAAGTGAAGTGCAGTCGACTGTAATACTGCGTCTTCACCACTAAGTGTCGCTGTTTCACTGTTTAACGCTACGAGGCTTTTCAACAAAGAGATTTTTATTTGTGGAGACGAATGAGAAAAGAATTAAAACTAATGTGTGTGTAAATAAACGAATAATAACGTCTTACAAAAGATGAAAAAAAAATAAAATAAATTTAAATGTAACACAGGACACAAATATTATTATTAAATATACTAATTTAGGTCTAAACCAGGTCTAAACCAGGTCTAAACCAGGACTAAACCAGGACTAAACCAGGACTAAAACCAGGACAAAAAACAGGTCTAAACCAGGACTAAACCAGGACAAAAACCAGGTCTAAACCAGGTCTAAAACCAGGACTAAACCAGGACTAAACCAGGACTAAAACAGGTCTAAACCAGGTCTAAACCAGGGCTAAAACCAGGATTAAACCAGGACAAAACCAGAACTAAACCAGGACTAAACCAGGTCTAAACCAGGTCTAAACCAGGTCTAAAACCAGGACTAAACCAGGACTAAAACCAGGACAAAAACCAGGTCTAAACCAGGACTAAACCAGGACAAAAACCAGGTCTAAACCAGGTCTAAACCAGGACTAAACCAGGACTAAACCAGGACTAAACCAGGACTAAAACCAGGTCTAAACCAGGTCTAAACCAGGACTAAAACCAGGACTAAACCAGGACTAAAACCAGGTCTAAACCAGGTCTAAACCAGGTCTAAACCAGGACTAAACCAGGTCTAAACCAGGTCTAAAACCAGGACTAAACCAGGACTAAACCAGGACTAAAACCAGGTCTAAACCAGGTCTAAACCAGGTCTAAACCAGGACTAAACCAGGACTAAACCAGGTCTAAACCAGGTCTAAACCAGGTCTAAAACCAGGTCTAAAACCAGGACTAAACCAGGTCTAAACCAGGACTAAACCAGGACTAAACCAGGTCTAAACCAGGACTAAAACCAGGTCTAAACCAGGTCTAAACCAGGTCTAAACCAGGAAAAGAATTAAAACAAACGTGATGCGAAAAACAAACGAATAATAAAGCCTCACAAACGATAAATATAATAAAATAAATAAATGTAAATGTAACACAGGACACAATTATTATTATTATTATTAAATATACTAATTTAGATTTATTGTTCAAAGCCATAGTATGTAACCTTTAGCAAAAATAAATAAATAAATAAATAAATAGATTTATAATAAGTTAATTTCATTCTGACAGTTTTTATTGGACTGAAAAATGTAGAAAAGTCCTTGCTGTGAGTGGCTTGCAGCTCCACAAACCTGGCTCTTATTTGGCCTCCTCCTGCTTGTTTCCATGGAAATGTTGCTCCTTTGGTTATAATATTCCACAGTTCCACTTTAAGTTACTACAAAAATGTGTTCCAGTTTTGCAGTGAGCGTCCCGGCAGGTTCAACCAGGTTTGATCAACAGTTTTTGTTTTTTTTTTGTTGTTTTTTTTGAAAGTTCTGGCCTGAAAAGTTATTGAAATTAAATCCAAACACATTTACTTTATCCAAACAAACTAAAGAGTCAGAATTCAGATGATTCAGATTCAGAACCACGGACAGATTCAGAACCACGGACAGATCCAGAATCAGGGACAGATCTAGAAGCACGGTTTTAGTCCTGGTTTAGACCTGGTTCAGTCCTGGTTTCAGTCCGTTTAGTCCTGGTTTTAGTCCTGGTTTTAGTCCTGTTTTGTTTTAGTCCTGGTTTTAGTCCTGGTTTAGTCCTGTTTTAGTCCTGGTTTAGTCCTGGTTTAGTCCTGTTTTAGTCCTGTCCTTTTTAGTCCTGGTTTTAGTCTGTTTTAGTCCTGGTTTAGTCCTGTTTTAGTCCTGTTTTAGTCCTGGTTTCAGTCTCCTGGTTTTAGTCCTGTTTTAGTCCTGGTTTAGTCAGTCCTGTTTTAGTCCTGTTTAGTCCTGGTTTAGTCCTGTCCTGTTTTAGTCCTGGTTTAGTTTTAGTCCTGGTTTAGTCCTGTTTTAGTCCTGGTTCAGTCCTGTTTTAGTCCTGGTTCAGTCCTGTTTTAGTCCTGTTTAGTCCTGGTTTAGTCCTTTAGTCCTGGTTTTAGTCCTGGTTTAGTTTAGTCCTGTTTTAGTCCTGGTTTAGTCCTGGTTTAGTCCTGTTTTAGTCCTGTTTTAGTCCTGGTTTAGTCCTGGTTTAGTCCTGTTTTAGTCCCGTTTTAGTCCTGGTTCAGTCCTGGTTTAGTCCTGTTTTAGTCCCGTTTTAGTCCTGGTTCAGTCCTGTTTTAGTCCTGGTTCAGTCCCATTTTAGTCCTGGTTCAATCCTGTTTTAGTCCTGATTCAGTCCTGGTTTAGTCCTGTTTTAGTCCCGTTTTAGTCCTGTTTCAATCCAGGTTTAGTCCTGTTTTAGTCCTGGTTTAGTCCTGTTTTAGTCCTGTTTAGTCCTGTTTAGTCCTGTTTAGTCCTGTTTTAGTCCTGGTTTTAGTCCTTAGTCCTGTTTTAGTCCTGTTTTAGTCCTGGTTTAGTCCTGTTTTAGTCCTGGTTTTAGTCCCGGTTTAGTCCGTTTTAGTCCTGGTTTAGTCCCGGTTTAGTCCTGGTTTAGTCCTGTTTTAGTCCCTGGTGTAGTCCTGTTTTAGTCCTGGTTTAGTCCTGTTTTAGTCCTGGTTCAGTCCTGTTTTAGTCCCGGTTTAGTCCTGTTTTAGTCCTGGTTTAGTCCTGTTTTAGTCCTGGTTCAGTCCTGGTTTAGTCCTGTTTTAGTCCTGTTTTAGTCCTGTTTAGTCCAGGTTTAGTCCAGGTTTAGTCCTGTTTTAGTCCTGGTTTTAGTCCTGTTTTAGTCCTGTTTAGTCCTGGTTTAGTCCTGTTTAGTCCTGTTTAGTCCTGTTTAGTCCTGTTTAGTCCAGGTTTAGTCCTGGTTTTAGTTAGTCCTGTTTTAGTCCTGGTT